GCCGTCGTGCGCTTCGCAAAACGCAAAGTGGCAGCAGGCGGCAACACGCGGAGGAGGTAGTTGGCCCGAGGACAGGCGCAAAAGCGTAGCAGGAGCCAGGCAGCCTGCAGGTCTTCGACGGCGGGGATGCGCGTGAGCAGTCTGTCGTGTTCAGCCCGTTTGAGCTCAAGCTGCCGCTGCACGAATGCGTCGCTCCCAAGTGGTGTGCCCTAAACGAGGGGGCCCTGTTGGTCAGGGCGAAGCGACCAGAGAAGGAGAAAGCGCTAGAAGCGGACAGGTTTTAGACAAGGAAAAGCTCTGGGGAACGAAAGACCTCTAGAAGCGAAGAAAGCTCCAAAAACGGAGAGAGTCTTTAGAGAAGGAGAAGCTCCAGAAAAGGAGGGGGCATTAGAAGCGGAGAGGCTTTGGAGAAGAAGAGGCTCTAGAGAAGAAGGGAGCGTTAAAAGCGGAAGGTCTTAGAGACTCTAAGAGCCTCTCGAGACCTTTAAAAGCGGAGAAGCTTTAGAGAAGGAGACGCCCGACCGCCATTAACGCCTGGGTAGCGCGCTGGTCCGGCCTCCTTGCAGTCGCCGCGCTGCGAGCGTACGCTGCCTCGCTGCTTGAACTCCCTCCTGCTGCCGAGCTCAGCGAGGGCACTGAGCCCGACCTGCATGAGGTCCTCGCTGACGCCAGGTGGCTCCAGGAGGTCCCGGCCAGCCGCCTGCCCCCACGCTAGCTGCAGTGTGGTGCCCTGAGTGCACCGTTCAAAGGCAGCGGTAGGCCATCAAACTCTATAGGTCGACCGGACACGTTCGGCTGTCGCAAAAAGGTGCGAAAAAAAAAAACCTTCACGTACTGTTTGCGCCCGCGAGTCTGTGGCGCACACCTGCTGCGATATTTCCGCAGATCACTTTCGCGTCGAAGGTATGTCTGGCTCAATGCTCTATAGCCTCGGGCCTGGAGCCTCATGCCCCGGTGTGTGGTGATGCCATGTCGTGCAATGAATTGTCAACATATTTCACCTGTACAGTCTGACCGGAGTGACGGTTGCTTCAGGACTCTTGCTGCACACGAATGGAACAAGCATGGGCCCAAAACAGCGCGATCATATGCGATCATTGTATTGCCTAACGCCAGCTTGTTCCGACCAAAGCTCAAAAAAGGAACCGTGGACAGAAACTCGCGCAGTGCTATTGGTGATCCAGCAACTGACCGCAAACAACTTCGGATTCCAGCAGAAGCCAACTTTTCAATAACACAGCATCTCGCCACATCACGAGCCTTCCCAACAGTGAGGAGCGTAAGCATGGATCCTCAACCCAGAGTGTTTCGTAAAGTCATCTGTACCACGGGAATGCTTGCAGGAAAGCTCCTGCAACACTTGGGTCAAGTCGGCCTCCGAAAATTTGAAGTCAAGGTGACCGCCACTGTTAGCAGGCATGGAAGCCCTCAACTAACGAACCGTGCCTTCAACATCCAAATGCTTGCGAGTCAGGGTTCAGAACAGCAGGCCTCGCATTCAGAGGCACATTGCGGGAGTGAGAACGCCGAGCATCTAAAGCAAACTGGAGCAGCAGGTGCACGTTCACGCTGCCAAGGCTGATAGGCCGCGTTCCGAAAAACCATCAGGTCGTAACACTAAGAATCCCACCAATTTGGCTGGGGACGACACGGGTGCTGGGAATTGCGCGCCGGCAGCCCTGGCCAGCTTCACATCAAGGCTACAAATTCCCCATAAAGAATATCGACAACGGACTCAGCACTTGCATTGTTGCACTCGTCTCGGAGATGCAACACGGAGATGCAACACCCGCGAGGCCCACCTGAGGAGGTCAGGGCACACAGGGCAAAGAACGGCACGCCAATCCCGGACTTTGGGCCAATGCGGCACCTTTGACACAGCTGTTGGTTTCACCAACACATCAAACGTAATGAGTTCATGGTCACCAACGAAGATTGGATGGCAACATGGAGAGGAACAACCATGTAAGATACCATCATGGACAACCACGTGTCTCACATCCAACGACCGAGATGCGAGCACCAAGTCATTAGAGGAACCGGACTTGTGGGTGGTAACATGCACTGGCTAAGGAACTTTCAACGTACAGCTAGCTGATATTCTTGGGAAGTCCACACTTGGTTGGGGCAGCATCAGCACTTCCGTTTCTTACGATATCGGAGCTCGAAAGAACTCTGCTCAAAACACATGTTCGCATGACGTCCGAGGAAGGAAACGCAACAATCAGCTGCAGGTAAACTACTGTATAGATGGACTCGGCTGGTTTCAAAACCTCCGCATTGGAAAAAGGGGATGACAATGCAGATGAAACTGCCGCTTCGGCAATAGTCACGCTGACGGTGTCAACTGCTACTAGAGCTACAGATATATCTATAGCTTTTGTACAGTCAGAGCTCCACACGGCTGACATTCGGCACCTGTTTCTGGTGGGATTCTCGGCGCGTTGCAATTTCACGGACGAGGGTCGTAAACATCGAGCTTGCAGACCGTCCAGTGTTCGACCATGTCAACTTGACCGAATTGCTATTGTTGCCGGGTGTGTGCGCGGTCTTCACGACCTCCCCCGGCGCAGTAGGCTGACGGTGCCGGCATGGGGGGTCTGGACACGCCCTTGCATGCCCGTCCGCCGTCCGCCCGAGGACAAAGCTGTGGCGCGCTGAGCGGCGACCGACGACTGCGTCCACCAGCGCCGAGCCCAAGCAGTCGCAACATGTCGCAAAGCGGGTGGAGCGGGCAGCCCGCGCAGGAGAACGTGGTCGCGAACGAGAGCTGAGGTTCCCGGGCCCCAGCGGGCCTTCACCTCATCGCCGAGCAGATGCAATGCGAGTTTATGCCAAAGGCTTCCACTTGCGCGGCCCAAAGGCTCTCCTGCGATCATACCAGGTCTTTACAAAACACGGTGCGGGCGCCGTTCTTGCTGCAATCGAAAGCCGCTGCAACTGCGAATGCAGGTATACCGTAGCTGCGCATTTAGTGAAAATACGATTTTGAAGCCCGTGCTGGAATGGTCCGTATCCTTCGTCCAGTTTGATACAGCCTCGTACACGTCGGAGTCCCGGTTTTGAAAATTTAAGTCTTCTGTCAATGCAAAACGACGTTGCCCGCGTGCCGCTATTGCAACACGGTGCAGGATAGGTGCAGGATGCAAAGTTGGAAGATCGCGCCCGAGACAGCACGATGTTTGGCAAAAGCGCTTGCAAATCCGAGCGCAGAAAAATGTGACGACGTGCATTTACAGCCAAGCGGAGTCAAATGCCCGTATACTGCTCGCGTACTTCACTCAGTGGGTCATCTATTGGCCTGCCCAGTCAGTTCGGCTTTCCGGAACATGGCGTCTAGCGGCTATGGCAGATCCGGGCTAAAATAATCGGACGTGAGCGAAAGCTCTGTGCCGCTCCACGGCGGAAGCCGAATCCTGGGGAACGTTTCGTGCAACGCACTGCATGCAAACGGAAGCAAGCTATTCGGAATTTTCGAGCCCCATAGTGTATGCACCAGCGTGGTTGGAGGTTCTCAGTATCTGGCGCAATCGAATCCCAAAAACCAGGAAGCATGTCTGGCTTGCTGGCCATCCCTTCTTCAAGGGTGCGGGCATGGATCCGCTGACTGCAGGGGCGGGTGCTTGCCGATAGAAACAGGCATAGAGACGATCAAAGCTGGAAGATCTTTGAGAGCGTTTGTGATGCCACGATTGTGCGGGAGCCTTCTGTAGCAAAATCGAAAAGTTGGAATTGATCCAGTTCCGGACCAACTGACCAACCGTTCCACTTCCGAGCTTCCAGTATTTGGGCGTTTACGAGTCTAACAGTTGTAACAGTTATCATCAAAACAGCACCACTACCATCACTCCTACCACTCCTCCTGCTGCACTGTTGCTGACGGTCAAAGCTGAGTCGATTCTAGTTTCCCTGCTACGAGGTAAAAGTGTAGTCACATAGACCCAGCCAAGCAATGCCTTCTTGCACGCACGAGTCGTATAAGCGGTTTGACAGCACAGCACATTGCGCTAATAGTTCCTTGGGAACGGCGCAATGCGCCTGCAAGTGCCAGATGGCATCACGAAAATCCGCCTTCCACAAGGCCACTGGCACCAGGGAAGGCTGACAGGAAGCGACGTCAACTAGGTTAGGCATCTGGATTTGGAATCTAAGGGTTGCATTCAGTGAAGGCTTTCTGAGTAAATATTTCTGGGTAGCAAGCTTGCCGAACTCACTTCTCAAAGACAAGAGGCATCAGAAGCCCTCGTGGAATATCGGGAGTCAACATCCTAAGCCTTTCAACCCCACTGCTGCGGTGTATCAGCATGCTGTAGAAACACATCGCAAGCCGAGCCCTGCACCATGCCAGTCTGAATCAGCCTACCTGCAGAATCACTAGAAATACGTGCATTCCTTATTACAACCCATTTGGAAGTATTCTCCCAAACCTCTTAAAACTCTTTCAGCAGTTGATGAGCAAGTTCTAGTCAACTTGTAACGAGCAATGTATGATGTAGGGTCCATAGGGGTTAGCCGCCACCACCAAACTCAGGAATGCGATGACGGCTTGATGGGACAAGTCAACTTTGGTCCAACATCTATTGAAATCAAATCCGGTATAAGGTTCAGACAAGGTTTCTAGCGCCTCAGCGGGTTCTGGTGGAAGCTCGCTGTGAACAAAGGCTACTGCCAGAGCGGCTACAAAGGGCGGATCATGTGAGTCCATCATCATGATGTAGGGTTTCGTCATAATAAGGAACCCCCAAAATAATATGGGTAACTATTAAGGCCCCTAGAGTACTTCCCTGTGCGCTGTACAAGTTGCAAGTGCCTGCCCGCACTGCTTTGCGGACGGAGAGCAGGCCACTTGCCATGATCAAAAACAGCCGTAGTGGCTGGATGCTACTCGGCCCGCGCCGGACCTTTCCTTAAAGCAGTTAGCTTCAAACAGCAAGAATGCTTGATGATGTATATTGGTGAGTAAGCCATTATGAGCCCTGCAAGCGATCCTGAAAGTTAAATCATTTCTTCGACAGCATCTCTGCCGCCGCGATCGCGAACTCCTCTCCTCCTCGGCAAACATCAAAGACCTGAGATACCGCGCAAAAGCAAGGCATTCGGCTTTCAGAATCTGCGCAGAAAGCAATTATTGTTCCTGTCCACAAAGAAGGCCCAACCCCACAGCTTCATCACAGGCCGTAGTAAACATGAAAGTGCTGACGATGACTCAAGAAACGCTCTCTGTTTCGTATGTGGGGCATGGTAGCGCTGCACATGGAAATGAGCAAAACACTAAGCACTGAGGTTCCTATATTCCTATTCCTATACTATTCAGTGGCGGCCGGACATTCAGGAAGGCAGCAGTCTGCAACCTAGGGGACACCTTAAGTCCTGCATGCGGGCCCACCCTGCAATCGAGTCACAGCCGCGCTAAGCCTACTCAGCATCGCTGGGCTCGCAAACTGACTCTCAAGTCATGAGCCCTGTTAAGCCCAATGGCGCAGTCATTGAAGATTTCGCCCTTGGTCCCCTTCGCGTTCTTCATCTTCTCCCCCAGATGCTTCACGCAGAGTTGCTCGGCTTTCGCCCTGCGGCTTCAAAATGTCAATCCGAAAGCCGTTAAAGGATTTTGTATCTGGGATTCTACAGCTGTCATGCTAAGGTCTAGGATTCAGAGCACGGCGAAGAGCCTCTGCACCAGAGATTGAGTTTAGTAGGTTCCGGCTTGGGGGTGAAGGTCTTCTTTGCTGGTTTTTCGACCAAAGTCCACATGGCTTCTGAGCTCATCTGCTCTTCTTTCGGCGGGTGGGTGGCCCATTCTCACAGTGACCGTTAAAGCAACCCTTATAGTAGACCTTGAAAAGAACCTCTTTAGTAACGCTTACAGCCTCTCGGACGCGGTGCAGGAAGTGAGCAGCGAGTACTGCCTGGCGAAGCTTTGCAGCTTTTACTCTAATCGGCCCGGATACGAATACTTCTACAGCTACAGCATTGTCTGCATGCACGTGCGTAGGTATGTGGGTGGGTGGGTGTGTATGTGTGTGTGTGTGTGTACAAAAGCGAGAGAGGCAGAGGGGGACGAAGGCAGACAGAGGGAGATAGAGGGTGGCAGAGGGAGACAGAGAGAGACAGAGGCAGACAGAAAGAGACAGAGAGAGGCAGAGAAAGACAGAGAGAGACAGAGGGAGACAGAGAGAGACGGAGACGGAGGGAGAAAGAATGAGACAGAGGGAGACAGAGGCAGAGGGAGAAGGCGGCATTTGTGTACGTGTGTGTTGTTTGTCTGTGCGTCTGGCTTTCGAAATGGGTGTGATCTGGCCAACTATGATAGCATAGCTGACGCTGATGATGGCGATAATGGATGATGCGCCGCAGAGCTGGTGGTTCCTATTGATCACATACATGATGAAATCTGTTTAATGTGACAGAGGTCACTATGCCTCGCACCGCTCTCAGCACTCTGAAGCAGCCTAAATCTCAAGCCTTAAAAACTCTAAACCCTAGATCACGCCGAAAAACCTCAACTGCAAAGCTACATGTTGTAGTCGGTGCTTCCGAGGAGCTGTCCGGCAAGGCCCTGGAAGAAGCGGTTCGCATAATCACCTCTCGAATTCGGTTCAGGAGTTGCGAGTTTAAGATTTCCCGCTTAAGCGTGAAGCACCCCAAGACTACCAAGACCGTAAGCGACCTCCATTTCATCACGCAAACAGGGAAGAGCAGACACATCCACTGAATTCTCAGACACAGCGCACCCGAGGAAGTTGAAACAATAACGAGAGGGCTTGCAAAGGAGTTCCTATCGATCTTACTCTCTGGCTGTGGAACAGGGTTTAGAATCTGAGGTTGGGGATGAAGGACTGAAGCTTCTCGACTCTGAAAGCTCGGTGCTTGATTGAAAGGGTTTCGACTGAGATTTTGAGCTTTGCTAATCAACCACTGCCATTGGAAAAAAGTCCCAACCCCCCCCCCCCCCCCGAAACCATAAACTCTAAACCTTTTACCCCAAACCCTAGGCCCGAAACTGTGAACCCTAAACCCTAAACTCTACACCTTGTTGTCTGGGACGGTTCGGGCGATTCTTCCGAGGTCTGCTTCAAAAAGGGGCACGCCGCCAAGGTGCGGTGAAGGCTTAGTAATGTAGGGGCCTTAGAAATTAGAATAGGGTTTTGGGGCCCATTCTACTGTAATCATAATCAGGAACCCCCAAAGTAGTATTTTAGTACTTGTCCGCCCCAATGGCTGTGATCTTACAAGCTCGAAATGCCATCGGAAATCGATACTTGGTCTACATCGACAGAGGGGTCGGCATCGCTGGTTGGAGGATGTCCTGCTCAGGACTCTACATCATGAGGTGAGCTAATTGCAACCAAAAACCACAAAAACCGAAAGCAACGATGCCAAGCCGCTGCCGCCGAGGGCAGTCCACTTTTTGTCCACGGCGAACTTGTTGTTACTTGGCAGGCTTGAAACTAAAGTTTAGGGATCTCTTGGACGGGTGACATTCCAAACTGCACTCCCCCTAGGTCTGCCACGGTATGTTGCGGATACCTTGCAGGAAACCCGAGCTTGCATACTGGCTACAGGCATACCCCACACTTCGGGCCGCCACTAAACCTTACAAACTTCTTGTACCCTAAAGCCTACAAAGTGGCAAGCAGGTTGAATCACATTTCACTCTACAACGGCGGCTTCCGAGCTTGTAGGACCCAGGGGAATGCCTGGCTATATACATCACAATCCGCAAGAAGCAACCATAATTCTTCAAGTGAGATCATGGCGGCGACACCCTCAACACTTGAAGCATCTTCTATTCAGCCCTAAAAACCCGATAAAAACCCAATTCAGACTCTATCGAGCATGCAACCAGACATGCTTTTGTAGCTGAGCCGCCCCCTTCCGTTGCCGACCTGTGAGGCAGGTTCAGGTTCGGGCTCTCATGCTCAAACCAAACTCCGATATTCGACGAGGTGGTACTACTTGTGATACCGTACTACGACAACATACTATATGATTGTATACTGTACAGCGTTACACCGTACTACACCATCCTGTACTAAGTACTACAGTTTGCTTTGATGTGTTGTACCTCGAACCTTTCAACTTATCGTCTCAGCATCTTACACCAGATCTCGAATAACTCCTCGAAGATTCACACTGCTGCGTCTACTATAAGGGCCCCTATACTAGGTCACGCGTGGACCGGGACCCTGGTGGTACCGTGGCGCATGAATGTGCCTATTTTCATGGTAAAACGGTTGTGAAATATTCTGAAATTACGTTGTGTTTTCGAAGCTGGTGGCTTTTATTCTTGATGGCCGATGGATGGTCTTGATTCATGTTCGCAAAAGAACATGAACGCTTGTGACAGCACAAACAAGCCCGTGCCAAGCCGTGCAATATGTTGTGATTAGAAAACAAAAATTCCGTAATTACCGGCATGTTGACATGTTTGCGACAGTCCCGAATGCTGGTGACAGCGTGTCTTGTTCCAGACACATTCAACATCCTGCTGAAGCATGCTGTGCAAAGAGGCAAGAATGCTGTAAATATCTGATTTTAGGCATGTTCAAACAAGACATGAACGTGTGTGACAGAACGCCTTGTTCCAGAGAAGCAAGAACGCTGCAAATACCCATGTCGTAGGCATGCTCACAACAAGACGGAAAGCTTGTGACGGCGCGCTTTTACCAGAAACATCAAACATCCTTTTGTGTTATGCTGTGCGAAGAGGCAACAATGCTCTAAACACCAGTGTTTCAAGCGGCATGTTCACAAAAGATATGAACGCTTGTGAGGGCGTATCTTGGTCGAGAAACATCAATCATTGTCTTTGCATTAATTATATTGTGCAAAGGACAACAACGCTGTAAATGCCAGTGTTTTGAGGCATCCCCTGACCCCATCAAAGAAAACTTACCGCTCGAACCCCGAAACAACCCGAAACAAACGGGTTAACGGTCCTGGTGCGCGCGTAACCACAATTCAGACCCCTATATGTTGGAACCCTTATAGCACTCCTGTTAAAGCCCATATACACCGCTTGTAGTGACCCCATTCTAACGCGTAAACCCATTCTAACCATTATTGAGGCGGCTATCCGGTAATAGCATTCATATAAATTCAGGAATTCCGTCCAGATGGCTGATCGCGTATCAAGATCGAGGCAACGACCCAAAACAAACCCTCAGCCGAAAACCCCAAACTCTGACACTCAAAGACCAAAACGACTAAAACCCAAGCTGGACGCAGTCTTGGAGGTGCTGGGCTTGAGCCTCGGAAACGTTGAAGGATATATATGTCGTAGCACTAGTCGCAATCAGAATATGTCAGAATCGTGATAGTCATGGGATTAGTATCCCCTCAGCCACGAAGTCCTGCGAGTGCCACCAAATCCAAATCGCCCACCTGAATCTGACCTTTGAGGAAGCGGCTCTCTGCAATGTTGGGCATGGACACTCCTGGGAGGCAAGACAGAGTGAGACATATCCACACTCAAGGTCATTGCTCATGATGAGTCAACAAGATGAGGTCACTGATGAAGCGGATTGACAGCCGCGGAGGCGGAGATAAACATCATGGTGAACCATACTATGAAACTACGGGATTATCGTGCTGAGCGACAAGCCGGTGGTGGAAGAGTTCACCATGATGACCAATGGAAGTGGCCATGATGTGGAGCATATCCAGGACCAAGCTGAGGATGAGTAGGAACGAGCCAGCGGCTGGTGAAGATGATGGAACCATTGCAAGTGCTAACATCAGTCTCAGTCGCCCTCAGTCTCCATGCTGTCGGAAATCATTATCAGGAGGCAAAGCCGACATCTGAAGCGAGCACGCAAATTATTTAAGCCATCCAGGTTACCAAAGCGTGCTTGTGTTTAACAGTTCTGACGGCGACACATCCCTCAAGTTCCGGTGACGACATCTGACTACTTGAGGTCACCAAGCCGGCAGCTGTGCCCGAAGGCAGCGATAAAGTTGAGATGGAGTGGCGCACGTTGATGCCCTTGGGCTTGCAGACAGTGTGGAGGTTGATGCTGTCCACAAGACCCTCGGGCGTGTTCCTGGCCGGGGCATTTAGGGCACAGGAGTGAAGCACGAGCTGAATACGACTTGAAGTTCATCCCTGCTGATTCCCGCTCTTGTCATTCAATCCTTGATTGCGGCTGGCTGATGCTAGCGTTCTACCATGATATCTGTTGGTTACCACTCTCTTTCTTCGTCGTATTGCTTTTGCGATGAGGCTCACTTGGCAGTTACATAGCTATTGGTAGCAATCTGTTGACAGCACACCTTTCCAGGTTTTGCTGCCGCCTTCAACCAGTGCTTCTGTCACCACAACTGTGTTCGCACTGCACTGCTACTGTTTGACCTCGCAAGATTCTTCTCAGCGCTAACATGGTTCAGCACCATTGTGCCGAGGAGGCAGGGGGCAGGAGGAGGAGGAGGAGGAGCTCACCACTACTGTCGGCAAGCATTGGCAACTGCAAGATACGCAGGCGCAGGCCCCTGCCAGCACAAGCCCCGAAAGCTGCAGCAGTGACACCCACAACCATCAATACCAGCAAAGCAAACAAAGGATAGCAGGAACAAACAGAGGAACTGTCAAACCGGACAAATGCGCAAGCAGCATAGTCGCAAAAAAAAAAACTTTGAAGCAAGCCTTAGACTCCATCTTTTGCCGTGGTGCATGCGGAGACTCAGATGCTTCTCGCTGTGGAACTCAAAGCCGCTGAGGTAGTCTCCACCTGCACTGGGACAGGGTATCCTGCGCCGCCACATCTTGCATCCCAAGACTGGGATTAACGATGCTTGCTTAAGCCGTTCCTACCCGGGTTGCTGATGCTTCTGAAGCTCAAACAGGAAGGCTGTGCTGGACCCCATCATGCTTGAGGTTGCGCTTGCGGACTTGACAGGGTTTGAGCTGAAAGACTCAAGCTCCAAGACTTGAGATTGGGTCGGGCGCTTCTGAGGCATTGCAGAAGACACTGCCAGGCATCACTCTCGATACCGGGGCCCTAACGCAGGATGTGGCGGGGACAGAGCAGCAAGCCCACGAGTGGAACTCTCGTTATGGCAGCCGGCATCATGATCACCAAATTCTATCATCACCATCATGACCGCGATCATATCGAGGATAAACATCATCATGCTCGTCATCATGACCATCATCCTCGTTGTCATGGAACTCATCACCACAGCCGTCACTATCAGCACAATCTTCAGCAACACTCACCATCATCATACGTGCCAGTCTCATCGTTCTGACCATCGAAATCTTCCATCTGCGTGGTCCCCCCCAACATCGTCAAGACCATCATCAACAACAACAACAGCAGCACCATCATCTCGTTGCGACCCTAAGCCCCTAAGGCCAGAAGCTCCTTCTCAAAACCCGTCGAGCCCTGATTAAGCACCCATAAAGCCCTAAAATGGCGCATCAGCAACCTCGGGGCAAAGGGATACTTGAGGGTACCGTTCCTGTGGAGGCCTGTATGGGGGCCTGCGGGAAATTATACCCCAAACCTCTAAACCCGCAGCCTTCGAGCAAAGAGACCGAGGAGTTCTTGCCCACGTTGCTCCAATTTCCCTTGGCATTGGTCTTGCCTGCCAGCCATTACTAGTACTTGGGGGTCTATACTTGCGGAAGGGTCAGTGGAGGACGTAGTTTTTACTAACCTCTTTACCGTAAGAGCACCATAACGTTTCCACACAGCTTGGAGAGACGGGGCTGTTCTTTTTAGAAAGGGAGCCAAGGCCCCCACGGGAGCCGGAAAGCCCGAACTCTCGCAGTAACGGGCCGACACAGCTTAGGCACTCCGAGATCCTTTAAAGGAGGGAGGTTTATGAAACTACCGTCGTTGTCACTGTTACGATTATCCTTACGATATTGTGCGTCGGGACATTTTGGTTATTCTTGTGATTCTTGTTGATGCTGTTATTATTACTATTGGTGTTGATGCCACTACCACTACTGCTACTGCCACTGCCAACGCTCCTCCTGCTGCTGCTGCTCCTGCAGCTGCTACTCCCACTCCTAAACCTGCTCCCACTCCTACTCCGCTACCTTTACCATTACTACTATTACGATTACTAGTACTAGTACTAGCACTGGTACTGGTACTGGTACTGGTACTAGCACTAGTACTAGTACTAGTGCTAGTGCTAGTACTAGTACTAGTACTACTGCTACTGCTCTGCTACTACTACTACTACTACTACTACTACTACTACTACTACTACTACTCCTGCTGCTACTACTACTACTACTACTACTACGACTACTACTACTACTACTACTACTACTACTACTACTACTACTACTACTACTACTACTACTACTACTGCTCCTGCTCCTGCTCCTGCTCCTGCTCCTGCTCCTACTCCTGCTCCTCCTCCTACTCGTACTCCTACTCCTACTCCTACTCCTGCTCCTGCTCCTGCTCCTGCTCCTGCTCCTGCTCCTGCTCCTACTACTGCTACAGGACGACGACAACGACGACGGAACCCTGCCCACTCGACTGCAGCCCTTGGTCAAAAAGAGCGCAGCCACATTGAATTGCCTCTTGCCCGAAACCCCAAGAAGCTTGCGATCTCATGTCAAGCGGACACCCTTAAACATTGAGACAGGTGGCGGCGCCACTGGCAGTCTTTGGCCGTGAGTTCCATGGCTTGCCTGAAGCCCTCATTGGAGCGATCCACCAGCAGCAGACCTCTGCGATTCAGGTTCAGGTGTCAGATTGTAAGGACAAAAGCACATCAGAGTGCGTCAGGCGTCTGTTCCCGAGCTTCCGGCTTGCAATTCGTAAGTTTTGTGGCTTGTGGTCACAGGTCTGAGTTGGTCTCTTAGCCTTGTGGTCCACACGGGTTCAGTTGAGGGTTTGGAGGCCTGAGACAAAGGCTTTGAGCCTTTTTGAAGCCGGGATAAATGACAGCATTACTCCTTAGGGCTTCTTGTTACCTATGCATATAATATGCCCCGTCCCAATTATTCAGGCCCCTATATTAGGGCTACAGGCGTGAAGACCCGACCGACCCTTCCCATTCTGCCTTGGGCCGTCCACGTGGGTCCGCCGTAGTGCGCGAACATCTGCCAGTCGATGAGGCCTTTGGCTTCTCGCAGGGCTTCATGATTCTTTAGCGTCTCGGGAGCTTGAGGTCAGAGGTTCTTGTGCGCAGGGCTTCAGGCAAGGCCTCGGTAGCTTCGAGGTTTTGCGGTGTGGAGTAGCGTGGGATTTTCAAGTTGTCCCATAGCAAATTGTGTATGGATGAAGAGCTCGCGAATCACAGGAGGTACAGCCAGGGATTCCTTCGGTGCAAAGTTCTTAAGTTCGGGTTGACATGGTGGGCTTCAACCAGGCGAAAAAGAGCTGTGGAGTTTGCTTTGCTGCTACGACTACAACAACTTATCCAGAGGTGTTGCGGACCCACTCCAAATCCGCCATCCCTAACCCTTGACCCTTGGCGAAACTCCATGCGCCGGGATGCCCGTTTTGGGTTTGTCCTGACAATCGAGCCGCTGCCATACACTGATTGAGAATCAATCAGCATAGTCGCAACTGTCGGGAAATACAAACACTGCCAGGAAAAAATGCGAGATGAAACGTGTAAGTCCTGCTTGTTATACGATTGCAGTAATGACCGTGGGAGTGGCAGCAGCAGCGGCAGTCGTCGCGCCGGAGTCGGAGTCGTCGTCATCGTCGTAGCGTGGTAATCGCAGCAGTAGCAGCAACAGCAGCAGTGGCAGAGACCAGGATTACCGATGGTAATACCAACCGGCGTCGTCGTACCTGCAGCAGTAAGTAGCAGGAAATCAGTGGGAGCGGCAGTAGCCCCAGGTGTGCTGGTCGTGAAAGTCGTGACACCCATGACAGTGGTGGCACATGAGTGTAGAAGGTGCAAGAAGCTTTGGTCCGCCCTCAATTCTGCCAGTTGGTTTCAGCTGGAGCGAACTCAAACCTCCGCCGGGCTGGGCTGCCTGGCTTGTGCTCGTTGCAATGTCGCAGCAGTTTCAGAAAGGATAGAGGTGGTGGTGGTGGTGGTGGTGGTGGTGGTGGTGGTGGTGGTGGTGGTGGTGGTGGTGGTGGTGGTGGTGGTAGTATTGAGTGTAGGAGGAGTAGAAGTGGGGAGGTACTGTCTCTCATAATGCTGGCTAGACATGTGTCTCTACTTGGCAGCTGTGGTGCTCCGGGTCCTGCTCAACAGAGACGAATTGCGTCTTGCGTCCGGAGTAGTGGAAGAGCGAGAAGGTTCCTAACAAACGCTACATCCGTTCGTTCTCACGTACACCACGCCCATGCAAAACCAACATGTCATTGAGTCCAAAGCTGCAGTCGAAACTTTACACCCTGGGTCGGAAGCCCTCTGCTTCAATGCTAACCGTACAGAAACTGCAGAAAACACCACCCAAGGCTCCATTTTCGTAGAGGTCGAACCTGGGAAAGCTGAGTCGTGAGGTAGCGGCCGATCAGGAGGACACCACGACTACAGCAACTGCTATGCTGCGCGTGCTGCCGAGGAGCTTGTCGCCATCCAGAGTGAGGATGTGCGGGTCGCCGTACTCGCTTCCGTCGACGCCGCCTTAGGCTCTTGAAGATTGGCTGATTCTGGTTCGTCGCTCCGAAGTCTCGCGATGACTCCGTGGGCTTTTGGGAACTACATTGACGTTGGCAATGACGACACAGATGATGCACATGCCTCTGACGATGATGTTGGTCCTAACGACGATGAGGATAGACATGACGGTTCTGAGAACGATGCTGATAAACAGGACAATGCTGAGCCCTGGTGGTGCATCAGAATGCAAGTAGCCCTGGCAATTCGTCAATGAAGGAGTCCAAGTAGAAACCTTTAATTTGCGAGTTTGACGAAAGCAGCATGATGTGGGATTTTCGGAAATTAAGCGACAATGGTGCAAACCTTAAGCTAAGTAGTGGAATCACGTGGACTCCTCATGTAACAGCTCCGGAAATGCAACCCCTGCTTCGATAAACCACGTATACCACTTTGTAGCTGTACGTGGCAGAAGTCATTCTCCGAACCGCCAAGATGGAACGAAGCCGGTGAGCTTCGCAGAAAGAGGGCTAGGACGATAAGCCGCACTATAGAATAAGAATGCCCCCCCCCGAGAAAGTCATGATGACAGCAGTGCAATAGCAACAGTCGGAGTTACATCCATGACTACTGCCGGTCATTGCATAATCTTAGTAACGCTAAACCCTAAACCCGCCCAGCCGCACTGCTTGATTTGCACGATCGCGCCGGAGCCGGCCATCAAGACTTTGAGCTTCCTCGACAAACGCAGCGGATGCACAGGGTTCGGACCAAAAGGATGAGAAGCATCTCCGGTTAAAGAATAAGAATAGGACATAGCACAAGAGATCATGCCACATGAATGTGAATGACTGTGTGCATAATGTACAGAAATATATATATATATATATATATATATATATTATATACATATATATATACATATATATATATATACATATAATTATACATGCTATATAGCTACCCCCCCCCTCAAGGATCTACCCTTTTCGTGCGTTTGAGAGCCGGATGCGAAATAGTGGATATTCTATAACGTATTCCGCTCTTTATAAATTCTTCACTAAATAAGCATCGATCAGGGATTTCGCAGATCCTGGATTCTGCAGTCCCTTCATATACAGCCCTGAGTTTTGCCACACGACATGCATTCGCGTACGGCTTCTTCTCGTGTTGAAAAAGAACGCAAGCTTGCATGTATGTTCAGTGTGTGTATAGGTTTTGCATGCAACAGTATGGGCTCTGAAGGTTACACGCAACAGGAGATCAGATATATGTCATCTCATATAACATAGCATGACGACAAGTATAGATATGAAAACAGGACCCTATTTCTACACGTCCCATATATAAGATGCATCGAGAGTGTAGATAATGTCCGTGAACACGAAATGTATCGATATTTCCAGGGTGACCTATATAATACCCTTTAGGAATACCTTTCGAATACTCTGCAAATTTCGACTATCACAACCTATATATCTTATGGACATCCATCTGGAATATCCTGTCGGACCTCCTATACAAGACCACACATATGTGAGACACCCCGCATGCCCTATATTACATATACGCTATAGGACACTCTAAACAAGACACTATGAAGAATACCTTCTAGGATATCCTCTAAAATACCTCCTCTATGTATCCTAAAGACTTCATATAGAATACACTGACATAGAATACCCTCATGCCTTATATATTGAATACCCTAGAGCCTCTAGAATATCTTATCATATACTTTCAGGCATAGCCCGTATATCCATAGAATACCTAGAGTACCTTACAGAATACCACATAGAGTACCCTACACAATACCTTATGGAACACATAGCACCCTCTATATGTCGTGTGCCTCATGGAAGACCATCTGGAGTACTCTGTAGAAGACCTTATATAGAATGCCCCTATGGCCTTGTATATGAGGGTCCTTGTATGCAGCATATACACCCCGAACCCACATAATTCTTAGTGGCTCAAAACCCAACTTTTCAACTTTTGGTCCCTTATAAGGTAGTCTTATTGTGAAGGTTTAAACTGCTTACCCCCATGGGTATCTGCAGTACCCTACAGACTAGCTTACAGAAGAAGACCTCCTGTCTATGATACCCTCTGAGTACCCCATAGCATAGGAAGTCCTAAAGAAAACCCTATGGAATATTCTATAAGATACCCGTAGAATGCACCATAAAGTGCCTTGTAGAATATTTCGTAGGTAGCTGATGGAACATCAGGAGCGGAATGCTCTGTATTTTACCTGCTATGTGCCCAATGAGGAAATCAAAAACAATAGCCTATAGAATACCTTACAAAATACTCCTTCTCCAACCTAGATTATAGAAAACCCCCTATATATCTGTTTATGAACCTTGTTGAATACCCTATAGCCTATACAATACGTTACAGAATACTTTCTACAATGCAACTTTTACGTTTATGCTTATGCCTTGCACCCTCCTTTATACAACGCCTTATGGAGTACCCTATATAATACCCACAAGAAATACGCTATAGTATGCCCTTTATATAGGCCTTATAGAATACCATTTGCGATACCCTTGAGACTACCTTACAGAATACCCCCTGAGTCTGATACCCTCTGAGTACCGCATACAGAGCCGGAAAGAAAACCCTATACAATACCTTGTAGAATACCTTGGAATGAACCATACAATGCCTTATAGCATAGGTTGTCCACTTGGGATGAACCGCGATTGCACTCAAGCGGCCCCGATTGAACTCAATCGGCCCCGATTGAACTCAATCGGCCCGGATTGAACTCAATCGGCCGCGATTGAACTCGATCGGGCCAGGGTAGAGTTCACCCAACCACAAAATGGTAATGGTCCATCGGCTAGCCCTTCCCCTCAAGAATCCACCATTGTCTTGTGGTGGGGCTCCCAAACACGCGGAACTTACGCGGCAAATCTTGTACAGGAACCTAATGTTGAGGTTTGTCGTTGCTTAAACACTAGCACCAAAAGAAGAAACAGTACTAGCATTGGCGGTAGGGCTGGTGGAAATGGCAGCTGGTGGAAATGGCAGCAACGGCAACAGCAACAGCAGTGGCACTAGCAGTAGCAATCTTGGGTAGGACGTAAGAGGTGCGAGGCAGTACCCGTCGGCGGTGGGTCGTCAAAGATTTTGAGTAGCGGGTACGGCAGGTACTGTCAATAACTGCGTGACGGTAGTAATAGTAGCAGTATGAGCAGCAGCAGTAGCAAGAGCATAAAGTCATAGTACCAGTAGTAGTACTGGTGAGAACACTAGTCATAGTAACAGTAGTAATAATAAGAGTAAAGGTAAGAGTGATAGCACCTCGCAATCGGCATCGTCATCGTAATAGTAGTCAAACTACTAGTAGTAGTAGTAGTAGTAGTAGTAGTAGTAGTAGTGGTAGTGGTAGTAGTAGTAGTAGTAGTAGTAGTAGTAGTAGTAGTAGTAGTAGTAGTAGTAGTAGTAGTAGTAGTAGTAGTAGTAGTAGTAGTAGTAGTCGTAGTATAGTAGTAGTAGTAGTAGTAGTAGTAGTAGTAGTAGTAGTAGTAGTAGTAGTAGTAGTAGTAGTAGTAGTAGTAGTAGTAGTAGTCGTAGTAGTAGTAGTAGTAGTAGTAGTAGTAGTAGTAGTAGTAGTAGTAGTAGTAGTAGTAGTAGTAGTAGTAGTAGTAGTAGTAGTAGTAGTAGTAGTAGTAGTAGTAGTAGTAGTAGTAGTAGTAGTAGTAGTAGTAGTAGCAGGACTAGTAGCAATAACAGTAACAGTAAACTATCAATAACAGTACTAACAGTAAGAGCAACAGTAATAGTAAAGGCAATGACCATCGTAATCGTCATCGTAATAGTCATAGTAATAGTATATCAATACTAGAAGTAATAGTAGTGGTAATAGTACTAGTAGCAGCAACAGTTCGGCAAGTAGGCTAACACAGAACTTTCGCAGAAAAACACCATCGCGGAACTGTCGCGAAGGCATGTTTATCTACGCAGTCGGCCGCTCATACAAATTATGCCACAAGGAGCTGTGGATCAACTACCATATATATATATATATATATATATATGTATGTATGTATGTATGTATATGTATATGTATGTATGATGTATGTATTTGTATGTGATATACAAAAGTTAGGAAGGAACTATCGTGTATGGAAACAATGAAGATTCTCTTTTTAGATTAGCCCAGCCACACTTCATTCTTGATCAGAGTGTTCCACGATGTGAGCACTAAAATTCCGAGGGCTAGCTGTTCCATGCGGTTTAGTGATTTAGTGTTTCGGATCATAAGATGTTGGATTTGGGTTTGGGGGTTTGGAGGTGGGGATTTGGGCCACCTTGTGCTCGGCTTGTCTCTGCTATAGCTCCATGTTCTCTTTCCTGCCCCTGCCCTCATTCTCTCACTAACTGTGCTTCGGGTCCGAGAAAATGACGGTGGTACATAGTCTCAAACAGCATGAAGCCATGCCCACACATGAGCTTGCGCGGGAGTAATAGGAACGACAAACACAAACACGGATTGACACACTAGCGGCTAGCGCCCTGAACTCGATGCTTACAGTCCCGGCACTGCCCTCCGGCCCATCATCCCCCTAAAACCCTCGCAGCCCTGTACCCGAAACAACAAGCCGAGCCGATGTGTGCCTCCATGTGGGGGTTTCCGATAATAGGAATAAGGTACCCCGTATTTTCCTAAACTCCCATGCGTTCCTAGGATCCTCCACTGGCAACTGCCAGCCTGCAAACACCTCCGAAACCTAGTACTAGTAGTTAGGAAAGGATATGGTTAAGGGCTTCAGGGGTTGGTCATAATCTACGATGATACACTATTACTGTCATGTACTGTAAGCTACTAATTATAACCGAACCTACTGAAGGGTTCTTGATTTCCTTGGCTGGTGATACGAATCTGTTGATACCCGCAAAGCCGAAAAAATCTGTTTGCGAGATAGCATCTTGACGCCACGGACTCGCAGGTCCACGGTGGTGCCTCCAAGCAAAAACGTGCAATCTCAAGCATCCTCATAACTAACCAGTATCACTAGTCAGTCAATGTGGATCCGCCACTTCTAGACTGGTAGAGACTCGGAGGCCCAATATGTCCCAATCATCTGAAAAGCAGATCTGGCATCTGTAGCATATGAAACCCTGACCCCCCAGAAACCTTGCTGAAATGCGAACCTCCGACCTTTCCTAAGTCTTGTGCCGTAGGATTCGGGGCTTCGGGATTTCACTTCCTGAAACTCTTGACCTGAAAAAGCCTAAATCCTGAAGGGCTTTGTACGGTTTTGTGCTCGCGGACTCGGATCCAAAGAGCAATATAGGAGCCTTGACAATTGGAACAAGGGCTTCGGGTTACCATTCTGTAGTTTTTATGGGGCTGATGAAGATTCATGATCTTCGAACCAAGAACTCCAGCTGTCCACCCATCGAATTGCCTTTGCCGTTGAGGCTGCTCTGCTGATCTACGTCCTTTTCCGCGATCAGCTCCTGGGCCGCTAGGCAATCAGGGCAGTAGGGTTGCTTCAGAGTTTCACCCTTTTCGAGGTCGGGTAATCGCGAAGGAGCCACCTTTGCTATCAGCAGAAGTAACATAAACCCTTAAGTTTTGAAAGCAAATCATAGGCCCTGAGGCCCTGAGTATAGCGCATCATTCTCATTGAAGAGCTGGATCTTGGTGTCCCGACTGCCATCATCTTGGTCCCACCTGGCTCTCTCGGACAATTTGGCTTTCTCTGCGTTTCTTGTTGAGTGTACACGGAGTACAAACTACGATACCTTTCGAAGGAACAAAGAAAGAGGGCTTGTTGAAACAAGCCGCCTCCAGGGTGTTTAGTTTTGAGTCTAGGCAGGGTCTACGTGTAGGGCGGGAACCGATGGTCTGTCAAAGAAAGAAAAAGAACAACACCGAACCATCATGTCACAACGAACTATCGCCTTGATAACGAACCCACTATGTTCGCGGTTTGCACAACCACCAAGCCCCAGCCTACCTGCAAATCTCCCTCTCTCTCTCTCTCTCTCTCTCTCTCTCTCTCTCTCTCTCTCTCTCTCACACAAACATGTATAGATGCATGTAGAAACACATGTCCAATGAAACCTGATGTTGTACTTATAGCAGCGGCCATGCTAAGGACGGTAGTGACTGGTAGTGCTACTAAACAGACCACGAATGGCAGCAACAACACGGGTAGTAGGAAGCAAAAGATCAGAATAGCAACCCGAAACCCCTAAACCCCTAAACCCCCTAAACCCTAACCCCTAAACCCTAAACCCTAAATCACCTGCGCAAGGCTTCGAATGCTTAGGTGGCTCTCGCCAAGCTGCTCGCAGCTTCGGCCCTTCTACAGGTTTGGTGGTTTTTGGCTTTCGGTGTTAAGGGTTGAGGTGTTGCAGGCTTAGGTGTATAGGGCTTAAAGCTTAGAGGTTAAGGCTCTGAACCTTATGCTTTCGGGTTTTTGGGACCTAAGCACTGGCCGAAGGGCAGAAGGATGTTCTTGATGTCCTTCACCTCAGGACAGGGCCGAAAAAACACCTGTTTAGGGTTTAGGGTCTGATCCAACCTGCCTCAGACATGGACAACTTTTCCAAGTTGTAGCGGCTGTATTATAGCACCATGTGTTCAGCTGCGTGGGTTACTTAGGCGCGAACATCCCGAAACAACCCTAAGCCCCTGAGCCCGGAAACCGAAAGCTCAACGAAGGATCGACCACAAGCGAGTCGCAGTTTGCGAGCATGCATTCATCCCGGTCTCAAACTCAAGGGATCCTTCTGCTCTGCGCCGATTAAGTTGCCAAACCCTGTAAACCCCTCAACCCCTAACCCCGAAGCCCCAACCCCAAACCCTCAACCTTTGACCCTCAACGGCTAAACACTGCAAGTTGCCGTGTCCCATTCGAAAATGAACTTGGGCCCTGGTCTTTCGGCACAGTCATCCACGGTCGTTTGGTCCCCGTCCTGCCATTGACATCAGCTTACATGGCAGAGGCTCAAGGGGCAGTGTGCTGTTGTGTACTAGATCCAAATTCTTATGAGCCACTTTTAAGTCTTTCGAGGGATTAGCTGGGTATAGGTAATATCTAGGCCCCTATATTAGCCCATGATACTGTATATAATTATAATAATAAGGAGCCCCCAAAATAGCATAGGCAGGTAGTTATTTAGGCCCCTATAGTAAACCCTTAAAACTTGAGTGGCTCGGCTCGAACCGTTCATGAACTACCCGCCGCAGACTTGCGGGGACCCCGAAAGGGGCAAAACTTAGGGTTTAGGGTTCAGGGTTTAGGGTTTAGGGCTTAGGGTTGAGGGTTTAGGGCTTAGGGTTCAGGGTTTAGGGTTCAGTGTCTAGGGTTTAGGGTTTGGGGTTCAGGGCCTAGGGTCGGTTTAGGGAACATAATGGGAGAACCAAGCCCCGAACCCAAGGGTGAGCTCCTCCAAGCCCTAAAGCTTAAAGAAAGGCTGTTCCCCAGCAAGGCCTCAGAGTACACCAGCAGCGCGCAGTTCGTGCATGTCTTCAGATCCTTGCAAGGAGTCCGCGGAGGTTCCGGTTTAGGGTTTCACGGTTCAGGGCTTAGAGCAAGTACTAGATTACTAGATTCACGAGATCTTTTTTCCACCCATGAGAAAATGAGAAAGCATCGAAGCATTCTGGTATTGCCGGCGAGTTACGCCGTCGTTCGTCGCTCCACCTTCCCGGTTGTTCAGGATCATCAGGGGGCCCTGCAAGGCTTGCAGCGGAAGCAGCGGAATGGCAGTGCTTGGCTTCCACGAACGAGGATGCCAGGTACTACATGACGGGATTCGTAGCCGTACCCCCTGATAAGTGGACGCTTGCATCGGGCACACGCGAACTTCGATCCAGACTCACAGAAGTCTCTCGTGCAACGATCGCGTCTCTATCATCTCTATCATCACCTGCAGATTCGAGGCTCGGCCCTGATCCAGAAGTATCTTACACCTCAATGTCACACTTCAAGCCCCCAACCCGGAAGAAAGGACATGCCAAGAAGCCCCGTTCCTAAACCCGGGCGGTCCGTGCAAGGAACGCGGGCATCCGCTCGCCGTTGGGCGGTGATTTCCACTCCAGGAACACTGTTCCTCGTGATCACCTCTCCTTCCAATCAGCGGGCTAGATGTAACGTTGGGATCGGGGCCTGAAAAATCGAGAGCAGGTCTCTTAGGAAGTTTGAGTACAGTGAGTACCAAGGGGGTCATTGGACCAGTTCTCAGCTAAAGTAGGCTCTTCATGTGCTTTATGCTTGGAACTGGAGCTCATCAAAGGTGCTCTGAGTGCTCTCAAAGTAACCCCAGGGCCCGAGCAGCTGCACTATAAGGTGTTTCGGGATAGCTTGCTTGGGCTTAAGGGAAGCATGAGTCACACGGAATACCGCAGCTCCTCGGACTTGCGTGTGCTGGCTTCAGTGTTAGGGATTTTTTCGAAAACTACGCGTATTAGCATCTGGAGGACCTTCTAATAACAATTTCCATCCCACACGACGGTCTATCCTGCGTTTCGAACGCAGCTTTTCCGTCATACTGGGAAATGCTGCACTGGCAAGGCATGGAAACAACGGCTTGTGGGTCTAATGACAAATGTTAAAAAGTTTCGGTTTAAGTTCTGGGGTTTAATGTTTGAGGTTTAGGGGCTTGAGTTTTCGGGCTTAGTTCATGCGTTGAAGTGCTGAAAAGCAATGGTTGTGTCTGGGATAGAAGACCACACCTCGTCCAGGGGTCCTGAAAAGCGAAGCCACATTGATGCAGTTTTTGCTCAGGGCAACCCGGCAACCCCATGATATCCCCTTGCTAGGCCCACCTGGAGAACCCAATCAAATGCGAGAGCAGCAGTCGACAACACAAAGCAAAACTAATCTGGCCCTCAATTCTCATCCCGAGAGATGTCGTCACGACGTGCAAAGCCGAGTCTCCATGGGAGAAGGTCTTGAAGTCCAGTGTGGTGGTGCCGTACTCGCAGAAAAGCTGAGTCTCCTCTGTGTCCTCACTCGCGATCTTGTTGAACTCGTCCGTAATCGCTTTTGCTGCAACAGTGTTCTCCTCGAGATGGTCGTAATTCTCCTCCAGCTGCTGAGCCAGGCGATCAAACCTTTCCAAGTCCTCCTTTTCTTGGAGCAGCTGCTGGGGGCTGAGCTCCACTCCAGTCGAGCTCCGCTGCGCCTGACCGGAAGGGGGCTGCTGTGGGAACCCCCTCGAGCTGGTTATGATTCAGTCGCGGCTTAGAGAGATGACGGGCCAACCCGGCACCAGAGCACTCTCATCTTCGGTATCGTGGGGTTAGGCCTGTCAAACTGTCTCGGGTTGACTGGGCAAGAGTCACGAAGACAGCGTCACCATGCGGCAGCTCACGATAATTGTGACGACGAATCCCGATGAAAAGCACACGAGACAGGACACAGTACTCAGCATAATGAGTGTGGTGGTCATGCTGCTAGACACTCATGTTGCTGAAAATCAATGATGATGGTGATGATGATGCCGTGATGGCGAAGACGAGGATGAGGAAGCCAATGAAGGCTATGGTGATGAGGAGGATGAGGAGGAGGACGAGCAAGAGGAAGAGGACGATGACGATGGCGATGATGACAGTGATGGTGGTGGTGATGATGTCGATTGTTATGACGACGACGAGGATGAGGATGAGGATGAGGAATTGCACACAACACTGACTCGCTCCGTCACTGCGGTGCGCCACCGCGAGCTCGCCCGGTCGGAACAATGCATGAAGGGCCACATACTCAAGTCATTGTGGCCGCGTGGTCTCCAAATCCCACTTCAAAGTCTGTGCGATACGACGGCCCAGCATAAATCGAGTTCAATGCAATGCAATGCAATAAAGTGCAATACAATGCAATACAACACTAAGGCTAATGCGCAAAACACGAGCAGAGAACTCGCAGACAGGGAACACTGCGTTGAGGAAGTGGGACCCTCTCTCAATCTGTAGCAAACCCTCTTCATCCCGGACCCCCAGCTTCAACTGCGCTCCTACATCTGAACCCTTCATCTGAAGCCTGCAAACCTGCAGCCTGAAAACCCAGATCTGGCGCCCAAACCTGACATGGTGAATCCTGACGCCCGAGCTCAGCCTCCCCTTCCCGTGCAAACCGCCTGAAACCGAAACGCCTAAAGGCTGAATACCCTGAACCCGAGGCGCTGCCTCCACCAATCCTACACCCGGAATCCTGGGCTTAGCCATCAGGGTCCTTAATATTGCCATTATATACCCATGATATAGCCCATTATAAAGCCCATTATAGGGTAGGGGTCCCCATTAAGGGTCCCTCCTTTTCCCCTTTGATCAGGGTAGACTGGAGCCCAGAACATAGGAATAAGAACCCTCCATACTGGTCAGCCTGCAGCATGCACGCTGCATCCAAATCCTCTGCAACTGCCGGGCCAAGCACGGCCCACCAAGCGAACAGCCACTTCCTTTGGAGTTAGGTCTTGAGGTTTAGGACTTAGGGCTTGGGGTTTCTTGGTATTCCAGATGCTTCTGCGGTTTAGGGTCTAGCGTCGATCAACTTTTCATGTCTGCTCCTTGGCTCTCCAGGAGTAGGCTTCGGCTGAGCTTCGTAACCGAGACTGCGGAGGTCAGGGTTGAGGGCTGAGGCTTCAGGGGTTCGGAGTTTAGGGTCGGGGCTGTTTTCATGCTTTTCGGTGTTTGCAATGATTTTGGGGGGTGCAGGAGCTCGCTGACTTCATCGCAGATCATCAGTTGGAGGCTTTACACTGCAGGGAAAAACTTCAGAATATGGCCTATACTAGGCCCCACACTCCAAACAGCGCCGTCTCGACCAAGTTTTCTGTACTTGCTGGCCGTCGGGCTAGACTCACGAGAGGCTCGGCAGCATAGGTGCGCAAGCATTTCAGCTCGTCTGGTGCATTGAGGCGCTGGGGCTAGTTCAGGGCGTGAAGCACTGGGGCCGGTTTCCATGCAGCAGCCTGCGATCAAAAAAGAACTGACTCTCGGACGAGCATCGTCATCTTTGGATCGCCGCTGGAACTACGCGATTCAGTAGCACGTCTACTTGCAGCAAGCGGGTTTCCTTGTGCCGCAAGCTGCGCAGCGCGTCGGCACGTGAACTCAAGACAAGTTGAAGGTTTCAGGAACGCAACGGCAAAAGGATGGAGACAAACATCTTCTTTAAGAGCCATTGGATCCTGAACGCCATATGGGAGTTTCCGAAAATTAGGGGTACCTTATTTTGGGGTCCTTACAATAAGGATCCCACTATTTAGAGTATTATGTTGGGGTCCCCTATTTTCGGAAACTTCCATATAGTATGTGCCGCAGTCCGGGTTGAGGTCGATTCAGCAGCCCTTAGCGACCGATGTCGGAACCTTCCGCAAAAGATGCATCCCTGTAGCATAGTAACCCATGTCATGATAACCCTTATCATGGTAACCCTTACATGCTAACCCTAGTAACCCTAATCACGGAAGATAACCCGTATCACAGTACCCCGTACCATAGTAACCCTTATCATTAGTAGCCGTGATCACGGGAACCCTTAAGATAGTCACCCATATCATGGTAACTCTTCCCATGGTAACCTTTAGCAGCCCTTGGTATGGCAACCCTCATCATCTAACCCTAAACTCTAAACCGTCAGAACCCTTTTCGTCGAAAACCTGAGGACACCCTTCGTTTTGCTTCTGCGGTCGTCTGCCCCGGCCGCCCAAGCGCGTGCTGGCCTGAAAGGATTGGGACTCAGGCGAATACAGGGGCCTTAATGGGGTTTTGGGGCCCTTTACTCTATAAGAAGGAAGCCCCAAAATAGTATAGGTAATTTAAATATTATAAGGCCCCTATGGCAAAGAATCAGAATAAGGTCCTTAGAAGCCTTCCTAAGGGTGATCATGATTTATGCGGGGTCGAAGCACGCTGTGCCCTGTTTGTTTCTCTGCAGCGCCTCCTCTCTTAGCAGGTGAAAAGTCCTGCCGTGTTCGACAAGAAGACGAGTGAAGTATCAAAAGCTTCCGAGGAAACTGGGAAAGCGAAGCTGGCTTGTACACCTGCAAGGTCTGGGGTGTACAATACATGCATGGTGGGGGTGCGAAGTGGTAAGACTCGTGCCACACCCTCGTCCAGCCCAAAGAGGCAAACAGAAACAGTCCCTTCTGAAAGTAAGCATCAGATTACGTCCTTTGGGGGCGGGAGCGTTATAATTCATGTGGAGAGGGGTTGGTTCCCACGCCACAAATTACACGCTATACACGCTGCACTCGGGAAACGTTCGAGGTCTTTTGTGCGGAACCTTGGTGTAGCAAACCCGCCTCAGGCCCTAATTGTAGGATCTTTAGTCTACGGACCCAGGTTTGCTTTTGCAAGCTTCATGCAATACAGGAAATGTCAGATTAAGCAAGAGATTTCTGGAAAGTGAAAGTATTCGCCAGCAACGCTCCCCAGTTGGTGTGAAACTCGCAACCGGCAGGCATGCATCCCACATGTCCGTGAGAAGATGGGGCAATCAACCCCAAAGTCTGAACCACAAACCCTAAACCATGAAACAAGACAAGCAGTGGAGTGGCAAATGAGCAGGCTACCAGGAGTGTTGTAAGATGCTGCAGTCACCACCGTAGACTTGATAGTTGCACTAGAGTATCCAGGGACAAAAACAGAACTTGACAGCAGCAATAGCGATAGCGGAAATTGCATTGCTTGGAACACTGTAGCCATGATAAACCCTACCACGTGAACCCTGTTGAAGTTACCGTGATTCAGGTTCTGAGGTCGAGGATCCCAGCTCGCTCATTGTCAGGAGGCCCATCTAAACCTTTCTCACATAACCTCGCGGAGGTATAAGCCTCCAAATAGGAACAACATGTTTCTAAAGGCTCAGACTTTGTTGGGCTTCCAGGCCGTAGTCGTACTTACAAGAGCTACAGTAAGTAATCGTAGCAGTAGAAGCAATAGTAGTAGCAGTGGTCGTCGTCGTAGTGGTAGTAGTAGTGGTAGTGGGAGTGGTAGTGGTCGTGGTAGGGGTAGTGGTACTTGTAGTGGTACTAGTAGTGGTAGCGGTGGTGGTAGTGGTAGTGGTAGTAGTAGTAGTAGTAGTAGTAGTAGTAGTAGCAGTAGGAGTAGTAGTAGTAGTAGTAGTAGTAGTAGTAGTAGTAGTAGTAGCGGTACAGCAGTACTAGCAGCACTAGCAGCAGTCGCAGTAGTCGCAGTAGCAACAATAGTAGTAGTAGTAGTAGTAATAATAATAATAGTAGTCATGAGAGCTGGTAGCGGTAGTAGTGGTAGTAGTGGTACTAGTGGTAGTAGCAGTAGTAGCAGCAGCAGCAGTACGTAGCAGTAGTAAAAAGTGAATAATAGCCGGACAAGTTGTAAGTAGTAGTACCAGGAGTAGGAACAAGTTAGGTCCTATTCTCGTGTCGAAAGCTTTCCAAGCCGCCCTCTCAGGCGTTCAGAGGCTGGCCACCACGCCTGGCAGTCATCTAGATCTGCTGGACAGTTGGGGGTTAAGGGGTAATATAGGGGCCTCAAAAGGGTTTGGGGGCACATTCTACTAATATTATTTTCCGGAACCTCGACAATAGTATTGGTAATTATTCAGGCCCCTAAATTAGGCTTCAGGGGTGGACGTACTGTTTCAGGCCTATGACCCAGATTTGCGGATTTTGCGCAGCTGTGATGGGATATTACCGCAATTGCGGGTCCTGGCCTGCAGGAAAGACGGCAGAGCTCTGAAGAAACAAGACACATGGAACCAAAATGACGACGAGCCTGCCCTCAGTATGTACAGGCTGCACTACTCGAACTCATATTGCCTATCGGCCGAGGGCACAGCCCAAACGACCACCGATCACCCCTCTTCTTGAGATAACTTCGGTTGAGCATTGTGTGCGGCCTCGCCTCACTAATAGTGGGCAGAAACAGAAGCACAAGATGAAGCACCAGGGAAATGCTGAAATGTTGACTCGTTTGTCATCATGCTGACATGAATGGAAAACGCAAGACTGAGACAACAAGTAAACTGCCACCCCATGAGTTGCAAACACAGTCACACCCCTGTTGTTTTCTCGGATTCGATCTTGAGCAAACATCAGGAGCTGCAATGCCTCTGCACGACTAGGGGGCGGGGCGGGGGGGGGGCTGGGGGTGCTGGGGGGGGGCTGAGGGGGCTGGGCTGGAAAGCTGAACGGACGGGGGGGGGTGGGGGCGGGCTGGGGCCGGGCCGGGGTCTGGCCTCTTCGACCAAGTTTAGTACTGAGAGGCGTACCCGGGCGCGACATTTCGATCACAGAAACCTCTTTTCTGTTGTGCTTTTCTTGTGCTCGAAACGATCCGATTGTGCTTTTTTTTTGTGCTTTTCTTGTGCTCGAAACGCTCCGGCTGTTGTGCTTTTCTTGTGCTCGAAACGATCCGATTGTGTTTTTTTTGTGCTTTTCGTGTGCTCCAAAAACCAAACGTGTTTGTATGTTTGTGCTTTTTTTTGTGCTTTTCTTGTGCTCGAAACGCTCCGGCTGTTGTGCTTTTCTTGTGCTCGAAACGCTCCGATTGTGTTTTTTTTTGTGCTTTTCTTGTGCTCCAAAAACCAAACGTGTTTGTATGTTTGTGCTTTTTTTTTGTGCTTTTCTTGTGCTCGAAACGCTCCGCCTGTTGTGCTTTTCTTGTGCTCGAAACGCTCCGATTGTGCTTTTTTTGTTGTGCTTTTCTTGTGCTCCAAAAACCAAACGTGTTTGTATGTTTGTGCTTTTTTTTGTGCTTTTCTTGTGCTCGAAACGCTCCGGCTGTTGTGCTTTTCTTGTGCTCGAAACGCTCCGATTGTGCTTTTTTTTTTGTGCTTTTCTTGTGCTCCAAAAACCAAACGTGTTTGTATGTTTGTGTTTTTTTTTTGTGCTTTTCTTGTGCTCGAAACGCTCCGCCTGTTGTGCTTTTCTTGTGCTCTGCCTGTACTCTTTCTGCAATCTAGGCAGGCCCCCGGGCTCGTTTCCGCAAACGTGTTTGCATGTTTGTGCTTTTTTTTTGTGCTTTTCTTGTGCTCGAAACGCTCCGATTGTGTTTTTTTTTTGTGCTTGTCTTGTGCTCCAAAAACCAAACGTGTTTGTATGTTTGTGCTTTTTTTTTGTGCTTTTCTTGTGCTCGAAACGCTCCGGCTGTTGTGCTTTTCTTGTGCTCGAAACGCTCCGATTGTGCTTTTTTTGTGCTTTTCTTGTGCTCCAAAAACCAAACGTGTTTGTATGTTTGTGCTTTTTTTTGTGCTTTTCTTGTGCTCGAAACGCTCCGGCTGTTGTGCTTTTCTTGTGCTCGAAACGCTCCGATTGTGTTTTTTTTTTTGTGCTTTTCTTGTGCTCCCAAAACCAAACGTGTTTGTATGTTTGTGCTTTTTTTTTGTGCTTTTCTTGTGCTCGAAACGACCCGGCTGTTGTGCTTTTCTTGTGCTCGACGCGGTCCGATTGTGCTTTTTTTTTGTGCTTTTCTTGTGCTCCAAAAACCAAACGTGTTTGTATGTTTGTGCTTTTTTTTGTGCTCCATGATTTCAAAACACATTGGCGCGCGGCAGTTCTGGTGCAAAATTGTCTCTGTCTGTTGTGCTTTTCTTGTGCTCGACGCGGTCCGATTGTGCTTTTTTTTTGTGCTTTTCTGGTGCTAGTTTTGCTCTGTCTCTCTGGCGGCCGGGCCAGTCCAGTCCCCGCGTCCAGGCCGTCTGAAAGAAGGTCTCTTGGCCCAGGTTGCGATGGTAACGAAACCGTGGTTCCAAACCTCTGCGCTGGTAAGTTGCAGATAGCTCCTCCCAACCTCTTCGCCGGTCCGACCCCATCTCACAGCCCTAATCGCCAAACTATGCCAAACATATTTGGATTCAAAACACTGCCTGGCCCTGGAAAACCGAATGAGATCAGATTTCCTTGTGCTACTTTTGGCCTGTCTGTTTGATAATAAACCTATTGTTGAACTATTAGTGGGCCGGGGCCCCATCTAAGTTGAGCACAGTGTGCTACCACAAAGGGCTTTCCGATAACTTCTCCGCCGTGATGAAGCATCACTGCGACACTAGGTTGGAAAAGGACTACCATGTTCGGTTCAAGGGTTTAGGATTTCGGTCCACACCAAGTGCTCCTAGACAAAGATCAGAACCGACGACCCGTCGGTCGGTACATCACTGAGCCACCATGAGTCAGAAGCCTGAATCATTGGACTAGGGTCTTGCCAGCATTCGTATACCTTAGGGCACACGAATCAGGAAAATCGCTGCGAACGATTCGGGCTGCTATACTACTGAAGAGATCACTTGTAGCCCCTCGACCTTCAAGCCTAAAGCTAAGCCCTTGACCTAACCCTAAAACTGCACACCACAAAACCGTCTGAATCCCTGCCCGCCTGTGGATGCCCGACAAACTGGGGCTACGAGCACCCGAAGAAGTGTACACCTTGCACACCGACTGGCGGCTTTCGATCAGGGGTTGGATCAGGATATAGGCTTCAGGATCAGCGTCGGATTGTAACTGCACTGTGGTGATCGGTTTGCCCAATGTCAGGCTGGACCCCCAAACCCTACCCTGGCCCTAAACCGTCGAACCACAAGACCGGTTATGCGCTGAAAACCACTCACACAGCCTGGTCAGTTCGACAGCTCTGGTGCGGAAGCATGTAGAAAAGAGAGCGTATCTATGACTCCACTTTCCGGCGGATACTTAGTCAGGGAACTGCCTTGTCACTGGTCACACGCAGAGGTTCATTGACCTCTAACTGCAAAACAGGTGCACAACTCGACCCTAGATCCTTGCAACCACCATGTCCTGAACCTGGGAGCTTGCACCATGCACTCGAGCCTGCAAGGACTACACCTTGAAAGTAAAACTCAAAGAAGGCACCAAGGTCCGAAGCTGGCAGCTCACCGAGCGCAACTCTGTCACTAGCAGTATGTAACAAAGCCCAACTCGAGAAAAGACCCGCCGAGAGATCAATAGGGGTTTAGGGTTTAGGGAAGATAATTTGGGCCCCCAGAAGGTACCCCGGTTTCCAACACCCCGCCTTCATGTAGTCGATGTCGAAGTACGCCTGATTCCTGGCGAAGTTTCAGGGTGGTAAATACGAGATAGCATAACGCCCTCGTCCCTGCCATCACGATTAGTTTTTGTCAGATACACATTCCTATCATCATTCGGACCTCTGCACTGGATGTGTGCACTTCTCGTAATCGAAACAAAATCGATTACGGCAACATTAGTACTGCACACCATTTTAGAGCCAGGTTTGGAGTTTGGGATTAAAATTATAGCCGCCACGTAGTGACCGCCTGAATTCCATTGCAACAGCAGTCGATGCCACTGCTGCATGCTTCTGACCACAGCTTCCCTGACTGTTACTCTGAAGCTTTGCAGAGGTTGAAATCCACACCAGACCTATGTCGTCTCAGCCACAAGCCACACAAGACACACGGAGGGAGTCCTGAACATCTGCTCAATGCGTCCATCCTCAATTCGTCGACAGAATACGGCTGGGCTTTGGGTTGGATAGTCTCGATCAGGGTCTCGGACTCAGGGCTTGAAAACGAAACGGGCTTGCTTTTCGTGCATACGTATGATTGCACTATGAGCCGTCGATCTCTCCATCCACACAGAGCCACCGTCAAGCCTGGCCTAGAATGCCCATGATTGTAAAGCTCGGCGGAGAACAGGTGACCCAAGAGCCTACATGCCGCAGAAGGTAGCCTCAGGAAGCCACGCACGTCATCTCGACTCTACGAGGCTCCTCAGGGAAAGATAGACCCCTGCCTGAAACCGGAGAAACCAGCCTTGTTCCCGGGTGTCTGAGAAAGTAATCCAACCAACGTCTCCAAACCCAAAAGCTCCAAACCCTAATCATCCTTATTCAAACAAGAACTAGCCGAATAGCCTTAACCCCCGAAATACCGTTAATCATAAAAGCAGGGAGCGGTAACCCGAAACTGAGCTCCCGGCATGGCTCGTGGCATACTTCGTGCAGCAATCCTCGTAGGGCTTGCCGATGTCAGCCCGGCACCCTGAGGAATTGCACTTGTAAGATGATGCTGGTGACAATGATGATAACACAGCAGCGGCAACGGAAATAGCGGCAGCAACAGCTAACAGCAGCAATGATGAACGCCGACAGAGAAAGAAATCTTCGCCGGCCGGCAATATTGTATTAGTATGCGACGTGCCTCCTTTGCTCCGTCTTACACCTCTCTGGAAAGCCTTTAGGAAGGACGCTGGCAGATTTCTGTTGAACCGAGCTGCCGTGGGTGAAGCCAGTGCTGCGCGCACTGCCAGACCGGAACCACCTGGCAGAGGCAGTTGCGAAAACCCCGAACCCAGAAATCTCGAAGCCTCGACCCGAGGCCAACCCCTAAACCCGCTTGCGTCTGGCCGAAGGGTGAAGGAAGCTTTCGGAAATGTCGAGCTTCGCGCGGAAAAAACAGCAGCTGAAGGCAAGGAGTTTCGGCCTGGAGTCCTCGAACTTCGGCTGTTGGCTTAGAAAAACTCAGGCTTGAAGCTGCAGATTTTGTTTCGCGTTGTGCATGCCCGAAAGTATTATTTACTATTACTATTATTATTATTATCATTATTATCACTATTATTATTATTACTATTATTATTATTATTATTGTTATTATGATTATTATTATTACTATTATCATTATTATCACTATTATTTTTATTATTAGTTCATGGCAGATGCAAGCTCGCCATCACCACCCTCGTCCCTGTCAATGCAGGGCCCCTAGGGCGTTGTTCCTTCCGAAACTAGCAGGCACCAGTAGATTCCCGAAAAGGGTAGTCTTGGGATGGCTTTTGCAACTTGAGAGTCAGTCCAGCAGTTTTACCATTTCTGTGCATCCTAAACAGCGAGTTGCTAGGTTTGACGATACCCGTAAGAAGGAGGGCTCTGAGTTGCTTAACTCAGAGGGAAACCGCTATGTTCGGTGATTGTTTGAATAGGCCGTGCCCGTCTTCTATGCAACTGTGGACTTCGGTGAACGCTACCCGGTGGTGAGTTGAAGGGACAATCAGTACAATCATGACCATGATCATCTCAGCGGCGTGGTGACCGCAACAAGGCCCAGCTACATATATAAACAAGAAGAATAAGCCCCAGCTCTGTAGCCCACATAGACCCAGAACCCCAGAACAGGCAAGTTCCAGCCCAAGGCACGCGTTTCCAGCCCAGTCGCCACACAGAGCAATGTTGAGCACGATTTCCTGCAAGAGCTCTGTGTCTAAACTAAACTGGCCGAAACTGGAAACTCTCAAATCGTAAACCGGAAACCCTAAGCTTAAAACCGTAAGCCCCCCAGACCCTGAACCTGGAGTCAGAGAGTGCAGCTCCTCGGCAGCGAACCTTGAAGGCGTCCTACTTACCCAATCCCAAGGCTTCCGCAACATACCAACCGAGAGATTCTTAGAGCTCCATGTGTTGGTGCATATCTTCCTTTCCGTCGCCAGTCCGAAACCGCACATTTTCCCTCCCATGCTAAACGATACTTGGCACTTCAGGTCTGAACCGGGTCCTGGGGACCTGCCAAGTCCTTGTGGCAGGTGTGGCTGACGTAAGGCAGGTAAGCAACCTCGGCATAGGGCCGGGGCTTCGGGCTGTTTTTTTTTTAGACCTTTCTGGGACTTAGGGCTTGGGGTATATAGGCTTTTTGGACGGTTCAGGTTTAGGTTAAGTAGTTACAGTTGCTGCTGCTTTGAACCTGGAAGCTCAGGGTCTCTAGCGTTATGTTGTCGTGCGGGTAGATCTTGCAGAACTTCACATATTCATAATTTAGGGTTAAGAGTGGGTCCTACCATCTTGAAACTATGCCTCAGCGACTCCGTCGGAATGTGGTCTAGAGTCCATAGAGTGAATTCTCGGGGCGTCTCTTCGTCTCAATCACCTTCTAACATAGTAAGACTGACAATGAGCGATCTCTGGCTATAGCTCGCTACAAAGCCACATGCGCATGCCGCCAGAAGGCATAAACCCTAAACTCATAAATGGGAACTCCAAACCTTGTCAAGCATAGTCAAGGCTTGCGAGTGTCGCACCCAGGGTGTAGAATTTGCTGAGTTCGTGGTTCAGAAAAGTAATATAGTATAAAACAGAATACTATAATTTTGTAACAATACGATAACATATCTATATATATATACACACACTCAATATAGTAATATGATATGACAAAGGTTGAGCTTCGGAGGCCTCAACACGACCTCTACGCCCTTGCGCATTCGAGAGAATCAGCGCTTCAGCGGTCTGGAATATCGTGCTTTCGCCGAGGTGCGACCCATTTGCCCCAGCTTTCGGGACGTGGCTTGTCTTCCTCCAGGAACGGGTGGCTGGAGCGAAAGAGTTGAAGTTCTGCTGTGGGGTAAGCCATTGATTTCAGGACTCATTCCTGGCAACCTTGGTGAAGAAAGCTCTGGCTCCGCCCAGAAGATCCATGGGCAGCGCACTTCGTTCACAACCGTACTCCTCTACCCTGTCTTCTATCCCAAGCCTATCGGGTGTCCAAGGACCATATCCGGACGCAGCGAATCCCAAAACCTCAACTCAAAGCCGCCGAATGGCGCCTTTCTGAACTCCCCCATCTCAGGCTTTGTGTGGAAGCTGATGACTTGCCCTAAACCCTACCCAACCCTTCAAAAACCACGCTCCAGAAGCCAAAAGCCCTGAGTGTACCCTATACTGCAAAAAGCGCCGGTCTGGCCCGAAATCCTAGATTTCCTAAGCCTCAGGAAGTCCGAATGCCTCGGTACCCCATACGCCCCAAAGCCGCAGCTTCGCCTTTGATGGCTCCACCCACCCAGACTTCCGGGAGGATCCGAAAAGTAGATCCCTTAATGGGGGGGTTCCTGTAAAGTACCCCTAGTGGTATAGGGCCCCAAATTAGGGGATCTACTTTCTAGATCCTCCCGGGAGTCTGGGCACAGTAACCTGAGTCCCTGCCTTGAGATCTGCCGGAATCTCGTGGTTTGGGATGTGGTACACCTTTGAAAGCCCTTCAAACCCTAAAACCCCTACACCCCTAAGCCCCTAAACCTTAAACCCCTAAACCCTAAACCCTAAAGCCCCTAAAACCTAAAACCCCTTCAAGCCCTAAACCCCTAAACTCAAACCTTAAAGAGCAGGGGAGGAGTCCGGCTTCAAGCACTACAGGAAATCCGACTGGGCTTGGGGGTTCTTGGCTATTTTGGGTTCATGGTTTAGGTTGGGATTAGGGTTCAGGGTTTTTTTTGTTATGGGTTCAGGGTTTAGGGCTTGGGGTATAGGGTTTAGGGTATAGGGTTTAGGGTTTAGGGCTGCCAAGTTTAGAAAGACTGGCTTTGGGGTTTAAGCTGAGACTTTTTGGTTTGGTATTGGCAGGGTCGGTCGGAAGCCTTCTTCGGTTGACGCTGAGTGACTCAAGCCGTGAAGACATGAAACCCAGAAACGACTACAGCTTGAGGCCTCTGAGGTTGAGGATTTGTGCCTGGTTATGGGCTCAGAGGTGAGTGATGAGTGCGTACGGATTTAGGCTTCAGGGGGGGTTAGTAGGCTACTGCAACTCCGACGGTGACCGCCCAAAGTAAGAACCCTGAAGAAGCTATCACTGCTAGTACAATCCAGCTAGCACGGCACGGCGTACGCTAAATCCTCAAAACAACCCTCAAGCCTACACCTCAAATCCGAAACCCTAAGACCCTCAGTTCGCAATCCTAGACGTCATTAAAACCCTCAAACCCAGTAAACCCTAACTGCCCTACAAGAACTCCTAGGAGTCCCAAGCACTCCTTAGCCCAGGTGGCCGTAATGCCATCCTCGTCCCAGGAGGCAGCGAAGGCTCCTGTCGTGGGATATCAGCGGCTTCGGAAGGGCTTCCAGGGCTCCTTCAAAAACTTCTTCGGCCTAAATCCTAAACCCTAAACCCTGAACCCTAAACCCTAAACCTTCTTCGGCCTGATTAGAGCTCTACCGGGGTTCAGGGCTTGAGGGTTAGGGTTGAAGGTTTCCGGGCTTCGGGTTTGGGGGCTTTGCGGTTTAGACACTCGTGTTCTTGTTTACGTGTCCGGTGGCGTTTGTTTTCTTATTGCCTTTCGGTATGGGTTGTCAAACGCCGCAGGGCCATGGCATAACGCAAATGAGCTAGACCCCACAGATCCCTTGAAGTTAAGGCAATGGATTCGGATAGTAGGGTTTTAGTTGGCGCAGTATACTGAAGTTCAGATACTTGTAGGGACTAGAAGGGCATAGTACTTCTGACCCTTGCATTGAGAGGTTTGGGCGTCCAGGCTTTCGTGGGAGGTCAGTGTCCTTGCCTTGGGGGTCATAGGGTTTGTTTAGGGTTTAGGGTTTAGGGTTGAAGATTTGAAGTTTAGGGCTGAATTCGCTTGAGTTTAGGGTTTACGGCCCGGGGTCGCACCCGACCCCTGGCACCGACAAACCCCAATCTCTAAGAACCCAAGATTTCAAGACCCTACACACAAGCCGAGAAATCGTAAACCCCAACCCTGAAGCCTAAATCTTCATCCCTAAGCCTGAAGACGTAACCTTGCTTTGACCAGATCCGAAAGTCTGCAATCGAAAGTATCTAGCTCAAGAGCCCTAAAACCCCTGGACCTTGTATAAGACCATACCCTCAAGCTCTTCCTACGCCCTGAAGACTCCAATTTCCAAATCCGTAAACGCGAAGTCCCAGCCCCAAAACCGAAAAGCTATGTGATCCTAGCCTTTTCCCCTGGTGTAGGGGCTTGAATAACTGATAAGAATAGGGTTTGGGGGTCTATTAAACTCCTAAGCCCTAAGGTTACTTATTACTCCGGCCTCTACACTATAAAACCCTGAGGTATGGAATCCTATATCACATGTTAAAACAAACCCTGGTCCCTATGTTACACGACCCCTACACCCCAAACCCCACAAGACCCGAAATACTAAACCCTAAACCTTTAACCCCAAGACGCCTAAAGACACAGAAAGCCCGAAACCCCCAAACCCTTCAACTCTAAAACCCCGAACCCTTTAAACCCACCAAGAACACCGAACAAATTTACGGTGTGGGTCCTGGGTTCTTGGCGAACCACTCGCCAGTCCGCTGGACTTGGCGGGGACGGCAGCCGAAGAGATTCTTCCAGTAGTTCCTTTGCGGTCAAGGTTTCGAGGTTTGGGGGTTAGGGTTTAGGGGTTTAGGGTATAGGGTTGGTACGTGGGACATAGTTGCAAGAACACATCATCGAGTTTGCGCCTACGGAAAGACAAAACACAATGAAGAGATGAAGGTTCAGAAACACATCAGCCATACCAAGATCAACATTCTGCTGGATTTAGCGAGCATTACCTACTATTTGCTTAAGAACCCCCCCAAAATAAAAAAATATATTCCTTATGGTGTAATATAGGGATTATTATTTTTGTTTTTGGGGGTTTCTTAAGCAAATAGTAGTTTCTGAAAGTGCTGGCCCAGTCGCGTGTTGCAGTTCATTGGGCCTGAGCCGCCCATCCTCTTATGCCGCATGCATTCTCCCACCTTTCCTCGGCGACTGTGGCCCAGGCCGGGCTGATCTTAAGAAAAACGATTTCGGCTGTTTGGTGGGGAGGCAATCCCCTTCTTTTCTTCCCCTGCAAAGAACACGCGTCCCGCTCGCCGAAGCTTCTCTGATAAAGGAGATGTCGAGTGGCGGGGGTCGAGCAAGCAGTTCTTGTCTGTGTGGAAAGTAATCTTGCTCGCCTGCAAAGCAGCCGGCTAGTCGCACCAAAATGTTGAAATTTGCTTGTAGAGACGATCTTGAGCCTCATCGTTCGCGAACTCCATGATGTCGAACTCTCCGCCATCGGGCCTCGGTTGAGTCTTTAGAGATGGCCAAAGGCATCACAGTCACCAGAAAAACCATGCACAAACTCAAATATGGTGAGCTTTTCGTAGCGCAAACGGCTCTGTTCCCCACCCAGAAATGACAGAAGTCGAAGAACTGACAACAAGACTCTCTCTCCATTGCAGGATTACTACAAACCCTTCAACGTCCTTCTTTCTGAGCCATGGCCATGCTTGCCTTTGAGGACTCCAAGCGGTGACGAGCTGCCACACCTTGTCGCTGTTCATCAACCAGAAAGCCGGCCAGATGGATGGACCCCAAGGCACATGGTTGTACTTCATGACCACAAGAAAGCCTCAGCATACAAAGGTAGCAGTCGTAGTAACAGCAGCGGCAGCAGCGGTAGGAGTTGTAGGCTTCGTAAGGTAGGAGCTATTTACAATGGTGAACGCATGGATTTAAAACATGCTAAAGCTTTGATTGAACAAAGCTTGTATGCTATCTCTGCGGCCCTGGCGGTCTGGCCGCCCTCCACTTACTTAAAAAGTCACAGTATTACTAGAAGTAGCAGCAGTAGTATAATAGTCGTCGGCAGCGTCGTCGTCCTCTCAGTTGCAGTTGTACTTGCTGTTGTTGCTGCTGCTGCTGCAATTCGTGCTGTTGTTGATGTCGTCGTGTTAGATAGCTGGTGCTCATGACAATTACCACTAAACACAGAAGTCTTAAAGCTAAGCTCTTAACCCGAAACTCACCTGGACCCACCCCTAAGCCCGAATCTCGGCCCCAGCAACCATCCTGTGGATGCCAGGCGTAGTTGGAGTGGATCATGACCTCCACTGCTGCGGCTTAGGGCTTTTATGAACCCGAGGAGGCCCTAACAGAGAACTCGGTGGGTGCAGGTTTGAGAGCTGAGTGTCGGCCCGAAACCCTAACCCCTAACTTGTAAACGAATTTGGGAGGGCGTCGTCAGACGCAGTCCGCAACCGTCAAAAAGGCCGCCTAGGGTTTAGGGTTCAGGGCGTGCCTTCGTTCGTATGCGGATGGACTGGACTGCAGAATGCCCCTTGAGTGTTAATAATGTAGTGGTGGTAGTAGTAGTAGTAGGAGTAGGAGTAGGAGTAGGAGTAGGAGTAGGAGTAGGAGTAGGAGTAGGAGTAGGAGGAGGAGGAGGAGTAGGAGTAGGAGTAGGAGTAGGAGTAGGAGTAGGAGTAGGAGTAGGAGTAGGAGTGGAGTAGGAGTAGGAGTAGGAGTAGGAGTAGGAGTAGGAGTAGTAGTAGTAGTAGTAGTAGTAGTAGTAGTAGTAGTAGTAGTAGTAATAGTAGTAGTAGTAGTAGTAGTAGTAGTAGTAGTAGTAGTAGTAGTAGTAGTAGTGGTAGTGGTAGTAGTAGTAGTAGTAGTAGCAGTAGTAGTAGTAGTCGTAGTAGCAGTAGTAGTAGTAGTAGCAGTAGTAGTAGCAGTAGCAGTAGTAGTAGTAGTAGTAGTAGTAGTAGTAGGAGTAGTAGTAGTAGGAGTAGGAGTAGTAGTAGTAGTAGTAGTAGTAGTAGTAGGAGTAGTATTAGAGGAAGCAGCAGCATCAGAGTAGTAGCGGTAGCGGAACCCACGATCACAGCTGCCACTCAGGCTATGAGACAAGACTCACAGCACAAAGTAGCCGGAGGAAATCCTGCGAACAGCAGACGGAGCTCCAATTGCTGGAACTCCCCTCTTGTATGGGTTTTACTGTGAGAATTCAGAACAGCCCTGCTAGACTCGAATAGTCTCATGTCATTTGCTAAGGTCCCCGGCCGAATGACGCTTGTATGGCGCGATCCACTCACCTGTCGCTTGGGGAAGCGCGGGTGTTGGGTGTGCAACTTGGGATGCTCCTTTGGCCTTGTTGAATATGTACGATCTTCGTTGCGAGCGTTGTGGCTATTGTCAAGAGTCTTGCGACCATGGTTGCTGCGCTGTCACTTATGACTTCAGGATCACCGTGCGGTTCTTTTCCTTACCAGCATTGCTGCTGCCAGTCTTTCAGCTTCCCTTTGTCCCTATAATATCTTTCCTGCCACTCCCAAGGGCTTCTGCTGCTACAGCAACAGCACTGCTTAAGACATCATTGGCTTAAGAAATATAGAGCCCCTCGGACAGCCGTGCGACAAAAGAAAATTGTATAACATGCGCGCAGTCGAAACAAGAAATCCAACAGGGCCTTAATAACAGCTTTGGAGGGCTCTAGAGGCTTTGCAAGGGCTTAAATTAAGCATGGCCATTGCCATCTAGCAAAAAACACCAAAATAAGAACTTGAGGGACTCGATTTCTTATTTTGGGGGAGTTCTGGTAAGAAGTGAATACAAGCTGGGATGGATGATGGCGTTCAAGGAGTCTGACGGACGCCGTGCCCGAGCGGATAAGCTGCGGGCTCGAACCCTACTGTGCTCTCGTTTCTTGAATTTGTGTTTTATTTGCTGCTGTTCCGATTTGATAAATTTGGGTTAAGAAATCCAGGGTACCCTCAAATCCCGAAACGTTTTTTGAAAAAAAAGGTGCGCTTCAAAAATGAGAAATCGAGCCCCCCCCCTCACGAAAAACTAATTGTTTCTTAACCGGCGCTGCCGCTCTACTTTTCCATGACAAGCTATGGCCACGGGATCTTCCCCGAAAGCCTACAGTACACCCTGAAAAGCCCGTAAGAAGTGCCCCGCAGCTCCGGAGCTTCCCAATGGGCCTGTGGGCTCGATACCGCCGATCTTCATGAAGACGGAGCCGTGGTTGGTCGCCCCGATCACCTCACATATGGAGTTCGGAAACTGGTGACGGTTTCGGAATGAGAGCGCTGGGGTAGGATTTGGGTTGGAGTGGCCGTTGTAGACAAACAGGAACCTCAACATTAGGGGCCCTGGTGTCTCGCTGATGTCAAACTTACATGCTAGCTTCCTAAACCCACCAAGCCCATCTGAACACCCTTTAACACTCTCAGTTAAGCCGACGCTCCTCTCGCCGAAAATCTGGTATCTGAGACCCAGGCTCCGTGCCTCACTGCATCGTGAAAGTTGAGATACTTGTGTGCTCCATGCGTGTCATCCTCCACGGGAGCTTGCCGAAACGATACAGGGGGGTCGAAGGTTGGTGGAAGGTTTAAGGCATCCGGGTGGAGGGGGGTTGAACGTTTGGAAGCGGTCTTCACAAGTGCTTTGGCTCCTTTTTCATTGCCACACCATTCGCGCAGAGCTTGGTTGTTCGCTGGCACCGCCAGCTTAGGTCCGCTCTCGCACACACCATCCAAGCCCGTAGTTGTGGCAGAACTGCGATGTCCAGCATCGGCTCGAGTCTGAAGAGACCCGTTGCAGCAGAGAGCTGCACATGAATCTTCGGACTTGAACTGAAACTCAACCTGACAGCTCACCCCGTTCCAAGGCCCTTATCCTCAACACGGTTGTGGGATCCTGCGTGACAAACGTGAACTGCTGGAAGAAGTCTCGACCACTGGCTCTCCAGGACAGACCTCGGAACACCCAAACTTTACTACTGCCCCTCAGTGCTGCTGCTGCTTCGTTAGTAAAACAGGAACAGCTGCGCTGGGAGCATCATGCAAGGGATGGCTGTGGAGTGAGGGTTGAGTGTGTCGGACTTCGAGGCGCAGTGGGTTCGAAGGTTTTGGAGCTGAGGCTCAAAGACATAGGGCTGACAGGGTCTAAGCTTCAGGTAGCTTACATCGGTTGCGCTAGTTCGGCACACCCGAGAGTCGCCTAGACCTACCAGTGTACCTGCGACAGAATAATCGCACGACCGACAGTTTCGTTGACTCTATGCACAAGCTTAAACACTATATAGACGAGTGTGATGCACGTGGTCATCGTACAAGCAATATTCATGATAAGGAGAGAATCGAGATTTGCAACAATAGTTGTCATACCGTGCTGGCTGTACATTGCCTTGTGACCCTGCCCCTGCCGTCCCCCAGGCGTGCTTCTCTTTGCGTTTGTGCCAGACCAGGTGTAGGGCGGCAATTAGGGTGCAACTGGCTTTGTTGATGAAGGGGGTTATCTTGCCGCAATGAAGCCCACACTCACAACCTTTTAGAGTTTTACGGGATAGGGTTCTTAAAATCGTTCCTAAAAGCTCACAGACACCCTCCTCTGAGAACCGGGCGCATGTTCGACGGCTTTGCGAAGCAGCCTGTCATGACTCACGACACACAACTTCTGCACACAACTGCAAGTATAAAGACATGAAACACATATGTGATACATTTGCGCGTTGGGGGTGTCTTGGCCCAAGCTGAGCTCGCCGCCGTACTCCATCAGCTCTGTGTAGTTGACCCCCAGGTCCTGGATTTTGCTCTGTGGGTCTCGGGTCGAGCGCTGCGGCTTTAGGGCCGGTTTAGGGTGTGGGGTTTGACAGTTTCGGGGTTCCGGCAACATGCTGAAAGTCTCATAACCTTAAGGTCATCATGTTGTGTTATGACATGTTTGGTTCTGACTTGTGCTGTGTTTGTACCACTCTTAAGGTTTCCCTTGCTACCGGCAGAGAGCGAGGTCCCTTCAGCTGGGGCCCTCTACTACGGAATCAGCAAGTACACCCCGAGGAACAGACCTCACCGAATGGCTTGAAAGAGGAAAGGTCGGGAGCTTTCTTCGGTGCACTTCTACAAGGAATATAGCCTGTCAAAACTGCGGTTTCGTCCAGTTGTAGGACAATTCATCGTGGCTTTGGGACCCTTTAACAACGTGAGCACTCGTGCCGAAATCGCTAATCCGGATCCCATAGATTGTGCGCCTCCTCGGTGTCCATCATGTCCTCCACCTCATCTTCTGCCTGAAGCTCTTCGGCCTGAAATCTGGGGTAATATAGGGCTTTCGTAATTAGAATAGGGTTTTGGAGCCCATTATACTATCAAGAAAATATGGAGCCCCCAAAATAGTATTGGTAGTTATTTAGGCCCCTATATTAGGATGCTTTACGGTTTGAGGGCACTCACAATCATGTTGCCAAGATGTGCCTCCTTCTCTCCTGCAAAGAACTTACATTGAACAGTTGACGTTCCATACTACAAGTGCCGGAAGACTTGCAGCTCAGGGTTTAGGGGCTCTGGGTTTAGGGTTTAGGGTTATTATACTATAGCCCGAACCCATGCAGAGATCCTATAGAGACCGTACGTCTCAGGCTCTTCTCATGGCCTCGGCAGCTTCGGTGGCGATTTTTGCTCCCCGATGCTGCAACGCATTCAGCGCACACTGCTCTCCTGACCGGAGAATCTTTGCACACCATCTGGAAAAATGCGGGTACAGGTACAAAAGGGGACAGGTAGACAGATAGCAGATAGATAGATGGAAGGGAAGAGAGAAAGACAGGTGGCTAGGCATGTACGTAGATAGAGACAGACAGACAGATGGATAGACAGACAGATTAGACAGATACAGAGACAGACAGGTTCAAAGACAGATCGATAGACAGAGAGATAGATAGATAGATAGATAGGCAGGTAGAGAGGTCGATTGGTAGAGTTTGATTCTCATGTCTTAGCGCCATCCGGATGCCTGTGCACTGATCGTCTTGATGCAGTGCCCGCTCCTGGGCGTGTCGAGTGGAGGGACGGGGTGAGAGCAAAAGATCCTGAACCCTATGTAGGTCTGAATCCACCCCAATTCTAATGATTGAAGCACAGGAGCTTCCAGATCCTCGCCACGGGCCACGAAGGCCACTGCCGCCATGGCCTCGGAAGTATTGCAAGCCTCTTCTTCGACGCGGCCCACTTCTAGGCCACATCTCCCCGAACAGCAGCCCAAAACACAAAACCCTTATTCCCAAAACCCTTAAACCCGAAACCCCGAAACGCAAATCCGAAACTCCTTGTCGGCCTTGAGCTCCTCACAAGAAGCCCTCCCCGAACTGGAACCGAATACTTGGGCATCGCACAGATACCGGCGACCTTCAGAATGCGAAGACCGAATGAAACAGAAGATGCCGCAAACTAGGGGCCTTAATGATGGGAATAGGCTTTACATATTTGTAGCAGTAGCTACTCTTGCAATGCGTCACGTCCAACAGCGGTAAAACAAAAACCGCCGGGTCCCGCGCCAGGCATTTGGACACCTGGGAGCACATGAGACTTTAATGCTGAGCTTGCTTCTGGAATTGCAACCTTCACGTGGGAGCATTGTACGACGTGACTGTGTGTGTGAGAGTATATGTGTATGTATATTACATGTACATGTAGTCGCAGATGTATAAGTATGATACGTCATTTTATTTATACCTACATACTTATGTCTAGTATGTGGACTCGATATACACACACACACACATGTGTGTGTCTGTGAGGTTCCAGAATGCCCTGCTTCACGGAGTGATCAAGGTGAGCCCATCGCACGGAAAAACCCAAGCCTGCCCCACAGATGCTACGAGTAACTGCGAACCTAAGAACAAGCGTGCGAGTGAGTCCTGTAGAAGATTGGGATTGGGATGGGCTTAGAGAGAGCGAGTTTGTGCCGACCTGCGTAGCTATCTTGGAAAAGGCATCTATCAGCATGACATTTTGACAAGCCATCCCCTGTTGAAGCTCAAGCCTGGCTAGTATGCAACCCGGTGTTGCTTCCAAGATGCCCAAGTCATCGCTGAGGTTTCTTGGTTTGAAGGCCTCGGTTGTGTCCGCTCTATTGGGCATGCAACGGATCGGACAGGGACATATTATTAGCAAACAGGTTGGTGGCCCAGGATCTTCATAGCAAGGCCCATTCCTATCCAAATACTCCTCTCCCACCTCGTCATTACAGGGCGCCGTCCCGATCATCATATTCATCAGCATCAGCAACAACAAACTAACATCAACATTGCAGCAGTCCCCATGATCTTCGTCATCCGTGTCATCATCGGACCATCGGCGTGATCCATCGTGACTATCTAGCAAGCCTCTAGCCGCAATTCTGACACTACTTACAAACGCGAATCGTGATGAGAGCCACTATTCCTGCTGTCATCATCACCACCATAAGAGTAACCTTCCTGACATTGAAATAGCATTACCACTGCAAGGCTAAAACGTAACACTCCGGCATGCATCAAACTGATGTCACCCCAGCACCAGCACCAGGAGCAGCAGCAGTAGCACAAGCAGCACCGGCCACCACAATCAACATGACCACCGCCATCTCCATCGTAGTCTCTTCATCATCACAATGACACTCATTCCCACTGTTGCTGCACAAGTAAATGCATGCTCCTGCTCATCATCCTCGTCATCCTCAGCAGCAGCATCACCACCAACTGCCATCACCATCAATTCAATGCCGTGACCAGGGCTCTCAGCTTAACAAAACTCTGCACCTCATCCACACCCGTGGTCAAACCAGCGAGCCTACTGAACTGCCAAAGCGCGTGAAATATCGCTGTTAGCAGTTTTCGGCCCAAGACCGGGCTCGAGTAGGACGTCAACTCGAGCCGGAAATGCCACAGCAAGCAGGGGTACATGACCATTCTCCTATAAGGCTTAGGGTTTAAGGTTTAGGTAGGGTTTCGGGGTTTAAGGCCAGTCGTCTAGGATGTATAGCGGTTCGTACAACCCAGGCAAGATTGAGCCTTACCCGAAGTGCTTCCGGCATTACTGTTGTTCCTTCCGAGCTATGGCGGGATGGAGACTGGTGGATGCTGCAATGAAGCTATGCATCCTCAACAAGTAACGGGGTTTTGGAACTCGATATGGGGACTAGAGGGTATCATTTTGCCGTAAGGAAAATGCACTAAGCTTCCGTCCATGGCAGGCCGTGACGCTGCGACAAGATGGGAGCTTTCACACTTACATTGGGGATCTTGATTTGTGGAGCGCTCGAAAATGTATCCCAAGTGGGTTCGTGATTTTCGGGAGATTCCTGGCGGGGTGAAGCGGGCCTGTACAGCCACAGTCCGAATCCAAGACACCTGCCACACTCAGTCAAGCCGCGACACAACGACACAGGCACGGAACACTGCGGTTTAGGTTTCAGGTCCAAGGTCTAGTTCAAGATAACTAGGTGGGGCTTTTAAAGCATTTGAAAATTATTAGTAAATAAGATCCTCTCTAACCCCATAAGGGAAAATATAAAATGTCCCAAAAGCCCTACCTAGATAAGAAAACCAGCCGTTCCTGGATTCTTCATGTCTTGGGCTTCATCTGATCTGCCGAAATTGCAAAAGCCCGCGAATGCCAAGTCTACCAGAGCCGACTCACAAAGCTCTGAACCCAGAATTCTCCCGCCTGTCCTCCCCAAACTTGGGAGACTTGGACACCAAAACTGTACAAAATCCTGAACCGTAAACCTTAAACCCTAAACCCGAAACAGCCCAAACAATACCAAGTTGACAAAAAAACACACGCCATCATCCTCAGGCCCTAAGAGCAGCAGCATCCCCCCGAAACCAAACAACAACCGAACAAAAATGTGGGCGTCGGAGGCCTTGAAGTCAATTTCAGGGAGCTGCCGCACTACCTGAGACGCTGGATGTCAAGAACTTGGAATGTAGCGATCAACGTTGGGTTTTGGGTTTGTTGGAACTTGTTGAGGGTTTCCCGGAGCCGCAGGGTCTTGCAGCAACTGCTGATACTCGCTGTATCTCCAGCCACATACCGCTGCTGTTGCCACCAAAGGAAGCATCGCCCCATGTGACTGCTGATAACTCAGATTTTAGGGCCGCAAAAGCCTTGGCAGTGGCTTGGACACACCTGACATTCTGGAGCTGGGTCTGCACATGATAGCTTTCACCTCAGGAACGAGCTACAGAGCAGTTTGAGGGGAAAGGTTTCGGTGCCAACGTCTGGGGCTTCGTAGCACCCTTGAGGTGCTCTAACAATCTGCCATGGTTTCACCACGCAACCTCGAAGACGGACAACCTTGTCATGGGAAGCATCCTGCAGTATCCCTTATACACACCCTTCGAGTAGGCCTTATAGTAACGTTTAGCAGGCCTGCTAGTCCCCGGTATAGAGCTTTACGACCGAGCGCAAGGCCACCTGCTTGTGGATGTGGAAGAATCTCGCCCTCGGCAGGAATCACTCACGAGACCTTCATATGTAGATTAGGTTTTGGGGTATACCATACCATAACTATGATAAGAGCCCCAAAATTAGGCCCTATTGCAGGCTGGAGGACGACGACGACGATGACAGCGGTGCGACGGCCGGACGGCTGCTACTAGCCCAACTACTGCTGCTGCAGGAACGGCGAGAACGCCCTTACCGCTGCCAGCGCTCAAGCAATGAGCTTTCGAAGTGCCGGAACATGGGGCCTGAATAGTCGCAACAGGGTTTTGGGGTATGCTAAGCATTGCCTAGAATAAAGGACCCTGCCTTAAGGAATAGTGCTAGCAGTTATCCCTAAACCCTAAACTCCTAAACCCCTAAACCCTAAACCCCTAAACCCTACACCCCTAAACCCTAAACCCCTAAACCCTACACCCCTAACCCCCAAACCCCTAAACCCTACACCCCTAACCCCTAAACCCCTAAACCCTAAACCCTAAACCCCTCCCCCCATATCAGGGCTCCGGCCAGTGCTTTGAGGTGAGTCGCCGACCGCTCAAGGCCTGGTTGCTCAGCCGGTTAAAGACGGGGGTTTAGGGTTTGGGGCCTTTTAGGGTTTGGGGGTTTTTGGGGCTTTTAGGGGTTTAGGGTTTGGGGTTTAGGGTTGAGGGTTTAGGGTTAGGGGTTTGGGGTTTAGGGTTGAGAGTTTGGGGGCTTTAGGGGTTTAGGGTTTGGGGCTTATAGGCTTCAGGGTTCAAGGGTTTAGGGCTTTGGGTTCAAGCTGTCGGGTTTAAAGTTTTGGGGCCTTTTGCGCCCCTAATCAAAGGTGTCGGCTCTAGACTCAAGGGTAGGGAGGATGAGTGTGTATGTCAAGCACCGTTTTCACTATGACCGTGTAGGCTTCACGATTCCGGAAAATGTCTAACCAGTCATGGCCTGAGTGTATGCAAATACATCAGAGTTAGGGAACTGGATTTTTTCGATACAGATCTACCCAGCAAAGGCGGATTTGAAGCAGGTAGGCGATGGGCACTGGGTATCCGAAGATTATCATGGGACAACTTTGTCGTGACACCCTTCCTGCTTTGTTCGTCAAACACAGCCCTCAACGGCAAGCAAGCCCTGTATGTAGACCACGAACACGGTGCCTGCGTGCCCGCCCATACGTCTGCATTTACGCATGTGTGCATGGACGCATGTACGAAACTCTACCTCTTTTTGCGTGCACACATGTACAACTACTCAAATGTCGCTAGATAGCTATATACATACGATAGAATCAAGCTTGCAAATGGATTCCGGACCTTTACACCTTTGGTTCAAGGCCGAACACGCCTCAGCAAAAAGCCCGCAACTCAACCCGATAGCGTCCAAATCCTTGCGCTGACAGCACACTAAAACCCAACAAAGCCTCAACCCCCCTGAAAGCACCCGGAGACCCCAGACCACCACAACCCTGAACATGGCTCACACGACCCAAATTTCTGAACCCCAAAACCCCGAAGCCCGCAATGGCCGATACCACGACAATGCAGACCTCCTGCACGGCGTTCTTGAAACCGCTCCGGGAGCGGAGTGGGCTTCTTCTTTGGCAGCGCCTGGGACCACCAAGCCCCCAAAGCCGGTGTAACCTCGAACTAACTTCAAGCCCGAAGCCATCAACTGGAACCCTTAAGCCTTAAGCCCTCAAGCCCAAAGCCTCCAAGCGCCAAACTCTCAAGACCCCAACCCCCAACCCCGAATGCTCCTTGCCTCTTTTCTTATCCGCCTGACTCCCCCAAAGTGCGACAACCCCCCCGGGCTTCCCGCCAAATAAAAAGATCCCCAAGCGCCCGCTCCGCTGCTTCGATCGCCTCCCCAGAATTGCGGGGTTTGTGTGGTCTTTGAAGTCGATAAAGGGGTCTTCCACCGTAGAACAGTAGCTTTACATCTTTACATAAGGGGCGGTTTCGCGGGCATCCGGGTATGGGTCGGATTGACAGTAATAATGAGCCAGACAGTCAGACAAGCAAACAACGACCATTTCCTACGCAGCAGCCCGAAGCCCTAAAGCCCTGAAGCCCTAAGCCCCTAAGCCCCTAAAGCCCTGAACCCTAAAGCCTCAAGAAGCACTAAACCCTAAAGCCCTAAGCCCTAAAGCCCGGGTCCTTTCGGTTTAGTACTGCTGTAGTCTTGGCTCTATGAAAACTAACAGATTTCTAGGCCCTCCCTCAATGTTTGAAATTGACTTTCAGTTGTGGGCCCGAAACCACAAAATTCCGGGGGCCGGGAGTGTTTACATTAGGGTTTAGGGTTTACTGTTAGGGGCAAGCGATTACTGCACTAGATTTGGGCTCGGAACCCTTGGCTCGATGCCTATATGCTGCTTACACATTGGAGGATCTGGAACCGGGCCGGAAATCGCACGAAACATGGCGGACGTGGAGTTCTAGCGCAATGGAGCAGCAATAGGAAGTTGATGGAGGATGACCAGGTTGCAACTCAACCTCCCCACAGAACCCCATATCCGATCACGCAATGACAAACGTCTTGAAGACTGCCCCCCCCCCCCCAAGAAAGGAAAAAAAAGAAAAAAAAAAAAAAAAAAAAAAAAAAAAAAAAAAAAAAAAAAAAAAAAACGTGTTCCTGGGAAACCCGAACTGCGCTACTTCGCAGAACCACAAGAAATGCCTCCACCTGGAAAGCAGACCTCTATAGAAGCTTCGATCTACCCCGAAAACATCTCAACCGAGACGCTGTAGTTCCTTGTTCGATTGGACCATGAACATCCCAAATTACAACTCCAGGTCTAAATCCAAACCCTTGAGCCCCTAAAATAGGGGCCTAGCTAGTTACCGGTACTATCTTGGGGGCTCCTTATGAAAATTAGTATTCTAGCAATATCGGCCCCAAAATATTAAGGCCTCTATATGGGTGGCTGTCAAAATTATTGTCCCTTTTCGGGGACCCTAAATATTAGGTGCCGTCCTATATTTGGGACCCAAAAGGGGGCCATAATTTTGACAACTACCCATACTAAGGCCCCAAAACCCTATGTCAGCTTCGCCTGGTTGGGGCTTGCAGACAGCGCTTTCTGCACGGCCAACCACGCCGAAGCAGCCTTTTGTGCGGCGACTGCGCCGGGACTTCTATCGCAAAGCCTTGATGCTGTTTGCCAGAGCCTAAGCTTAAGTCTGCATTCCACAAATCTTGTCGCAGTGCCAATACCTAGGTCTATATATGCGGAACTTGTATGAACTTTCTCTTGCGCTGTGAAGGTCGAGGGCTTCAAAGCTATTGATGTCGGACCCTCCCTGCCTCCACCCTTCCAGCAGCACTCGACCGTGCTTTCTACGCGAGGCAGGGATACACGGGTAGAGCCCTAAGGCCTGTAGCGGCTCGGGCTGCATTCTGTACGCCCTACAGTGTGGGCTGCCAGGTCTATCCGGAAAACCTATCCAGGTCACCAAGCATAGTCCCGAGCGGTCCTTTCTTCCTTATTTAGACGGGCTCAACCACCGCGAGCGCTATCAAGAAGTCTCTATACTCTTTTTCCTACCCTTTCAGCCCCGAGACCTACGAGCCTCGACCTTGAGCCTTATGTCCCGGACGTCTGACATTCCTCCAAGCCAGTCCGACAGACGGCCCCGAAACTGAAACCCTGTGCAAACCCAATGCCGCCTTATATGCACTAAACAGCCGATTCCACTCGAAACCCTACACCCCTAAGCCGTAAGACTCTAGGACGCAGCCCAGCAGACGAAGAGTCCGCACCTGTCCGGCCCGCTGGCCCAGGGCGCGCGACTCGATGGCGGTCTTCCTAGAGACTGCATTGCAACCACCATTAGCAGCATTATCTTAAGTACGACATGAGAGCATGCATCCCTGCAAGAATCCAAGCCCAACGCCTCTCACCTAGACCTTGAAACTAAAATGAGATCGGCAATAACCCGAGCTTTCGCAAACCGGCATCCCACTCATTGATCCCTCTTTCACTCCGCTCAGGGCCCCTTCCGCCTGGACGCGGGTCGCCTGAGGTTCAACAGGAGTGTTTGGCAGCGAGCAGCAATCGGTTGCGGTTTTAGGGGAGTCTTGGATTTTCCAAACTCAAAAGATGTACCTAGACAGACGGAGCATCATGCTGGCAAAGCTCCGATCGAGGGCCCAGAGTTAAGCCGGTACTTTGAGGAACTCTTTCTGTCTCTGCATGTGAATCCTCAAGAGGATTTTAGGAAGACAATTGCTGACCGCGTACAGCCGACAGCCTAGATTCACCTCCACGAACCCTTTAAGCCGAAATGATGCCGGACTCCAAAGAATCCAAAGCCGATGCTGATGATGGTGCTGCTGATGTTGAAGATCACAGCTGCAGTGCTGGCTGTGAAGATGATGACGGCGACGACGATGATGATGATGATGGTGGGGGTGATGCCGACGCTGAGGACGATGATGATGATCATGATGATCATGATGATGATGATGATGATGATGATGATGATGGTCATGATGGTGGTGATGTTGGTGTAATGATGATGGCAATCCTGGTGTCATGGAAGATGAAGGCTGAGCCAGTGGTACTTGGTCGGTGTCGGGTATCATGGGAGAAGGCTATGCCAAGGTGCAGGGCGTCCTCAGCCACCTGCACCGAAACTCTGTGACATGGTAAGTCGCGGTGGGTGGTTATCTGGTAGGCCACTTTCCGTAAATCGGAATCTCGAGTGCAAAGGTCGTTGGGCAAAGCAATAGCCGCTGAGGCCCCACCACCCGTGAATTATCGATGTTGACTTTTATCAGATCTGAAGGCCACAGTCTCCGACAAACCTCATCTTTAAGTCAAACACTTAGGATGCCGCAGCGTGCCACCCCTCCCAGTTCTGAAACACAACGCGCTTCGTTTGGGGGTTCCTTGTGTACATTACCCATAGTCGGTGGGAGGCTACCGCGGGGGGTTAAGACTAAGGGAGTTGGGAGCTTTAGAGACCTCGGCTAGCGCCATATAGTAGACAAGAAGATAACCGAAACAGGAAAGTACCCTTGAGGGCCAGGTCCTCGGTGATCTGGAACAAGCCCCCGTGCCGGGCCTTCAGCCACTTCCGGGCATCGTCACCGGGGTTGACTTTCAGAGCAACGGAGAGCGCCTCCATCGCTCCCTCCTAGGGTTGCGCCGTCGCGTGTGAGAGGTGCTGTAGAGAATATATGAACGAAAACAGCTCGACTTTCACGTCTATTGAAGGGCTTCACTGTGGTTTCATCACTGTGTCTGGGCATGTATTTATTTAACTAACAATCATTGGAGGTTCGGCATTTTAGTTGGCGATTCTCTGGAGCTGCTCAAACAAACGGTTAGGACCTTAGGACGACAGACAAAGCCAGCAAACATACACAACCATCCCCGAATCATTGAAAGGTATACCCGACATCTGTTGTCTGTCTGTCCTGCGCCTGATCGCAGAAGAACTGGATCCGCTCCAGGTATTCATCCCGGATGAAGCGGCTGGGCGAGAGCGACGGGAGGCCCTCGCCCGAATCAGCAGGCTGGCCGTCTTCGTGCTCTGCAGCTTCCGTTCCTTGCTCGGCCGATTCTGAGGGCTCCCCTCTTGGAAGCTCCTCCGACCTCTGGCCGCCAAGGTTCTCCTCAAGCTCCAAAGACGGATTCTTGCTGCCGTTCACAAGATCTGCAGGCGCCCAGGCAGCTCCAACGTCCCAGCTGCTGGAGCGCTGAGGGTCAGGATGAATCTCGCCGCCGAGCTGGTCCGCACTGTCCCACTCCACATTGGTCATGGACGGCGACAACGGTGTGATTTGGGTTGACATCTTCCTCGGGAAGCAGTTGGGCTGACGCATGGTGATGTTCTTCGAGCAACTTGAATCTTCAACCACAAGTGCCGTTATCATCCTTCGTGCTTCACACAGGTACACCTAGCATAGGAAGAACAATAACAGAGGAGCCTCGAGTGTCAGTAACCCGAATACAGGGGCCTCAGTGGCTAGAAACGGGATTTGGGGGAGACCATAGCATAATATACAATAAGGAAGCCTGAGGGACACTTCTGACAACTAATAAGGCTTACCTGTCCATGCGTTGCCGATTCACTGTCGAAACCTTACTGCTACCAACTTGTCTATATATCCACTTATCTGTATGTATGTCACACACACACGAAGATAAGAAATGAATGACTTAAGCGGCAGAATGTAATGTACATGTAAGAGTGCGCGTGTGTGTGTGTGTGTGTCTATATATATATATATGCAGATACACACTCCGTGGATCCTACAGCAGAATATAGGCAAGCCACAGCCGCTTCAAGGCCATGTGCAGCGCATTGCGCTCGCAGTGCGCAGCTGTCGCGCGGCAGGAGAGCCCAGGCAGTTCCTGCTAACAGGGTTTGGGGTTTAGTCCAGGCTCCACGCTGGAGCTTCAGACATGAGGGGTTCTGGAATAGACAATAGAGATGGACTTCCTTCTCGTATGAGGACCCATAGAAGGGACCCCCTAAATTTCTGAAACCCTCACGTGAACTTCCACCATCAGTCTCACCAGTTTTTGTGTCTTACCGACTCGGCTCGTCTGTAGCGCATGAAGCTTTTCAAGGAGTTCATCGAGGTTCTTACTCTGGGGTTTGTATCAGGGTCGCTGACCGGTTCCTGGCTTCTGCCCTTTATCTCAGCTCTCGTGAGACACCCAACTTCGACTGGACGCGCTCGTGGATGAACGCTGCTGGTACCTGTACCCGGGCTCCTAGCACTCAAAGGCAGAGTCAGTTCTCCAACGCGCCTGGTACTGCTAACAACTCCCTGAACGCCAAACCCCAAAGCCAAACCACCTCGAGACAAGTATACTGAACATGGCTACAGACTACAGACCTTACTATTGCGTTCAAGAGGCCAGGCAATTGAAGGCAAAAGTTGGGAGGTCTGGGGAGGTCATGCCGCTGCTCCCATTTGCCAACCTCCTCGAAGGCATCGCGCTCGCGCAGGCCCCAGCCAATGAGCCTGCAGTAACTGTTGAGCTTGAAGACTTAGCCAGAATCTCGTTTCTATGCTCAGCCGGCTTTTGGAATCTCAGGCTTGGGCTGTAGGCTTGCAGAGCGATCAGAGCTTCTCTTGCTTTGGGAAGTTTGGGGTTTGGGCCGAAGAGGTTAAGCCAGAAGTCTCTCTTCTCCTCTGAGGCTTCGGAACGGTCGTAGACTTTCCGAGCTTGGCTGACGAGCACGCCAGGTTTCAGAGTCCAGGGCTGTTGTTGATGTTGCAGCAGGGCTAGCACTGAAGGCTGAGAAAGAAATCGATATCACTCGCGATGGCTTCTATACATGATACATGCAAGTATGCATACATATATATGTAGACGCCTCTATATGGATACACATACATGCATACATGCACACATGCATACATACATACGTACATACATGCACATCTGCATACGAGGCAAAGCCTGCGCAGCGCAGCTCCATGTTTGAAGCCTACAACGTAGCTCTGACTCTTGAGCTCTTCGCTCCTCTTGTAGAGCTGTTAGCGGTTGCTGCATATGCTAGGGCGTGGCCTGCCACGAACTCTAACACTCGGGACTCGGGACCCTTGGCCAGTGCATCGCAGGAGCTGCATAGTGCCCCTGGGGTTTGTACCCAAAGACACGGACAGCACAGCCGGCAACTCCTGCAGAGAGATAGTGGGATATGTCGCTGGTACCAGTGCTGTGCAACGGCGGCCACAGCTACCTGCACTCCCGCTGCTGCGGCTTCCCTTTTAGTGAACGATGGCGAAGACGGCCATGTTTATCTGCATTAGCATGCAACTAGAATGGTACTTGTTGGATGTTGTTAGAGGAGTGGCGGATCTCGATTGCCTCAGGCGACATCGTTACTCTCTGCAAAGTCACCAGGGTTGCATAGATGCATAGCTTCGAACCCAAATCTGATAGCTTCAGACCCCCTCCAGCTGTCCTTGCCAACTGGTCGGCGCCGGGTCATAGCTCCAACAGCAGTCAGCTGTCCTGAGGCAGCAGCAGTTGCATATCACAGTAGAAGAGGAGAAACGTCGCAGCTGGTAGTGTGATTTGTTCTCACACTAGCAGGAGGAGTGATAGCAGATCTAGGGGCAGTGGTCGTGGTAACCTTGCAGTCCTCGGGCCAGTCTTTGGGCCCTGAGATGCCAGCTCGAACTGCTGTTGATCCCCACCTCGCGCGGCAGAAGAGTAGATAGCAAAGAGAAACATAATAATCGTGCTGACCAACTCCTGAATCCCGTGAGTACTCTGAGAATGCAAACCAGGTTCCAGCAGTCAGCAGATCTCCACCTGCCTGTATGTGTGTGTGTACATACCTCTGTATACATGTGTATATATATATATACACACACATACACGTATACATGTACATATATATATATATGTACAGACACACATTGATGCACATATATGTCTGGATATATGCATATGTATATATGTGTATATATATATATACATATATATGCACACACACACACACATGTGTTCATATCTGCTGTCCCTGTCGAGTGTTGGATCACCTGTTGGTCCTGAAGCCTTCCCGGGAGCACTCACACATGTGTCTGCATGCATGTATGTGTATGTGTGTGCGGATATGTACGTATATATATATATATATATATATGCATGTCGAATGTTGCGTCTCCTGCTGGTCCTGCAACTTCTCGGGAGCTGCTGTGAAAAAACTGATGCTAACAGTTTCAGCAAACCCCGGAAACTGCTTGCAACTAAGCCAGCCAAAGCCGTCTCATTATGAAACCCCTCCCTCTACAAACATCAGCATGGCTTTGGGAACATTTGTTCATGCCATTCTTCATTTCCTGGAACCGTGCAGCAGGTATGCGATCTGAGGCTAGGTCAAGCTCGCATGGCCGTCATCATCGTCATCATCGCCGTCATCGTCATAATCATTATCATCGTCATCATCATCACCATCATCACCGGCTTGCCACCAGCAACCTCCATCGTCACTATTTGTCATTGTCATGAAAATAAGTCCGAACCATCTGTAACACAACGTTCATCGCTATCACCACTATCAGTCTTGACAGAAGCGAAAACCAAGGTCTGCGAATTCAACCCAGCCTGTGCCAGTGCGTCATGCGAGTCTGCGCCGAGATTGAAGACGCTGCTCGGAAACTGAGGAAAGCAGGTACCGAAGCTGCCGCTGGTACTTGCTTGTGGTGTTCAAAACCTCCTAGAAACAGCATACCTACCCCAGGTGAGGAAGCCTAGACCCTAAAGTCCCTACACTAAATCCATTCAGTGCTTCAGGCCCCACAAACACGTCGTCCTGAATCTGAAAGCATGCAGAGAGACAGTTCAGGGGTCTCTCATTCCTTCGTCTCCACACCGTAAGACCACCGCCGGACTCTCCTAATGTGCCCTCTGCACGATGTGCAGGTTCGACTTGAGCTGTCGTAAAATCATTAAACCACAAGCCCACGTCAAGGAGTCTTTGGATCAGTCTAAACTGTACTGGAAACATGTCCCGAAGCTTGAGCATGCAAAAGTAAAGGATGAAGTCCAACCGTTTCAACGGGCCTTGATCCTTAAAGCATGAGCTGATCTTTTGCATGTAGACGCTAGCAGTGAGTATCCTAAAACAAACCTATGTCGGTTAAACAAACACAGAGGCCTGAATACTTTACAAAATCCTTCTCAGATGTATCTACGGAATAAATCCCAAAACCCTGGTCTAGTTGGTCTGCCTTGATCATACATCTACTCTCAGAGCTTGGCGGCATCTAGGGTTTTACAGATCAAAACTCGTGTCTGGATTCTTAGGGAAGGTTGCCAATGGCTATCTCCAACTGACCTAAAGCTTCTAACTGCAAACCCCGACACCCAAGCCTCAACCCCAAACAGAACGCGAAACGCCGAGACCCCAACCCAGCACCCGAAACCCCCAGGGAGGTCTTCACAAATGGCACATAACATACCACTCTAGTCCCTATATACCTGTTCTACAATCTACCTCCCAAAACCCAATCTAAACCCAAAACCCAAAAACCCTGTCTCTTAAGACTCCTACGTTCAAACGCGGATGCAGCCAAGCGAGGCGCCAACTCGTGCAGTCCGGGTAGGGCGGCTCGGCTCGATGTGGCAGCGGACTCCCGGACGAACCTAGGCTACATCATGCCATGCAAATATGTACAGATATATATATATATATATATATATACATATATATATATATATATACGTATGTCCATGTACAAATAACTGTGTGTGCACTCTTCTATATCATCCATATACGAACAGATACATACACCACTTACTTGCTTACTCATGCAAAAGTACGTATGTACATAACATATACGTACGCATACATTTCTACACAAGGAACTCTATTTCGGTAGCTAGGACCTAAGGGCTCTTTATCATGTCGCTTTCTGCTTGTCTGTTTATACCTGTCTTTAGCTATTTTATGTGTAGGCTAATCTCCTGATCGTATAGTAACGAATGTATGTAGGCATGTATGGATGTATCTACGTACCTAGGTGTGCATGTGTTTACCGCTCACTTACTGACTTATTTACTTAATGAATTACTTACTTAATTGCTGACTTATTTACTTACGTATTTACTTACTTATTTGCTTACTTATTTACCTGCCTAACTAACCTACCTAGTCACATGTTTACTTACTTCCTTGCTTGCTTGCTGGCTTACTTCTTGCCTGACTTGCTCACTTACTACTTACTTTCTTAGCTAGCTGTTTCTGGGCTTATTAACCTGTGACTACACACTTAGTTATCATTCTTTAATTGGAAATCTGTTGATGTATATGCTGGTGTATGTCTGATTATTTATTCCTGCATGCATACATGCATACAAAATTGCAGACATACGTTCCGTTACAGTACATTACATGTAAATATATAGGAGCCCCTCTTTGGTATCTCTGATCGTATTCTGCATTTGAGGAGGGCAGGAGGCCGATGGGAAAGCAAAAGTCGGGTGGTTCGATCCCCGCCCCGCTGTAGCCTCGGAAATCGACCCGGGCTTCTATGTATCCAGTAAGCAGCTACAATCTACATGTCATACGTGTCTGTACAAGTACATGCATATGAATATGTACATATGCGAATACATGCATACATACATACATCTTATACATCTTATACATACATACATACATACATAAATACATACATACATGCATGCATGCATGCATACATATATATATATATATATATATATATATATATATATATGTGTGTATATATATATATATATGTAAACAGTGTTTGCATATATATAGATTTTATATATTATGTGTTGTTATATATATATATATCTATATATGTGTGTGTGTGTGTTTGCGCATGTGTACATATATATATATATATATATATATATATATATACATATATATATATATATATATATATATATATATATACATGTACATATATACATATATATATATATATATACAACATGAAATAGAGCGGCAGATGGATAGACAGACAGATAGATAAATGAACAAGCAGATAGATAGACAGATGGACAGGCATACAAATGAGGAGTTGAATATCGGTATACAGTCTAGTCTGTACATATACATCATACATATATATATATATATGTACATATGTATGGAAACTATACAGACGCACATGCACATGAGTTCATGAGCATTGCTGGGTCTTCGACACTCGCTTCCAGTGCGCCGCCTTGCTGATCCGCTGCGTCCGGCGACCTCGAGTCAGGTCGGTCCTAGGGTTCCTTTAAAGGGATCTATAAGGGTACCTTTATGGCTCCTTTAAGGGATCGATTAGGGTGTAGGGTTTATGATATAAATCCTGCATTACCCATAACAAGGAATATACCATAATTCCCATAGTTTAGGGTCCTTAAGAACAGTCAGAGGCACCTCGAGGGCTTCGGGATTTGGTGGGGGATTCAAGTTTAGGGGTTCCGCCTCAAAAGGTTTATGTAACTTGAGAAGCGCCCTCGTGAAGCTCTAGAGCCTGAAACTCGAGCATCTTGTTGTGCTTACGATTGAGGTTCTAAGGTTTCGGATTGGGGGGTACAGGGTTTAGGGTTCAACAGTTGGGGTTCTTGCGGAGACAATGCGGGCCTTCGGAAGTAGCTTCTCCTGGCAACATGTCTGCATGAGGCCTAATTAGCCTAATTCGTAGCTGAGTCCCCTGGTCGGACAGGCCTGACCCCAAATCGTGGTTTTAAATCCCCAACCCCAAGCCCTGCTTCACAGAGACCACGAATCCTACGTAACTCTGGACGCCTGCCTCCCATCGCCGACAAGCATGCAACAAAACATCCCAGAACCGCGACTTCGACATTTCAAGGATCCGGCAATCTAGGATGAGTAACCCTGAACCTTACCCCGTCCCGACCTTCGACATGGGAGTTGCAGAACAACCCGGCGCCCAAACGTAAACTTTGGGCCCTAATCTCTGAAGCGCTAGAGCCGCCGGAGGCTCCGATTGCAAAGGCCGCAGGCCAGAGCTTTCAAGGTCCGGGGTTTGGGGAGGCCTTCTTCTCTGATGGCCCATCCGCGGCGCTTGCCCCTTTCGGGCTTCGCCCATTCTCGACCATACCTTAAGAATTCAGCAGCAGCGCGGGGCATGTGCCTGGCAGTGGGCGTATAGTAATCTTTCGATGAAAACGGCTGCGATAGAGCGCCAGCTATAAAAACGATAGCAATAATGACCAGTATGACAGCTGTCAGTGGAGGTCAAGGTTCTCACTACGACTACGACACTGATGAATTCTTGAACTTGAACGCTAGAAGATGCGTGGAAGGAGCGTAGCGGGTTCAGAAACGGCGCTTCAGGACCGAGAAAAAAGGGAACCTGGGGGGCCTGGTGCAATTCTGGACTCCGCAGTAATCGCACGACGACGAACAGACAGCTTCTCGGTGTGGTGTATTTGGTAAGAGACTTAAGTCTCAGGCTGCAGGGTATTAGGGTATTGGGTTTAGGTTTAGGTATAGACTCTTTAGAGTCTGGAGTCTGGAGTATGAATTTCAAGGTTTGGGCTGAGATTTAGGAGGGTTGCATGTCTACGCCCGGACAAGCCCTCAGCCCCAAACGATGCTGCCCAATCTTTTGGGACTTCCGGTCTGCTCTGGTATGGCGTCCAAGTTCCGCGAAAGCATGATATTTGCATGTTCTAAGTCAGCCGTCTCTCGGGGATAAAACTCTGGTTTGAGCCCTCGCAGACCCTAGGCTCTATAGGCCTTCTCCAAATCGCTTCTCATCTCCAAGTCTCCAAGGCTTTGCAACAATGCTAAGGGTAGTGGAGGCGGAGTGTCTCTTGGAGGAAGTCATCATCTGCAGCAGCAGTGTTGGGATGTCAAAACAGTCATTGCCGCAGTGCTGCTTTGATTCCGTGACGGATGGCCATCATGGATCCTATCATAAGGGTATTCTTACATAAGTAAGTGCTGGAGTATCAATACCTAAACCTTAAACCCTGGGCTCTAAACGGAGAAAGACGAAATTTGATTTGGGCAGTATTGGTCGGAGTCCGAGCCTGCGTTGCTCCTCGAGCGGCGCCGGATCCTGTGCAGCAGTTCGGGGATGAGCCTGAAAAGGTTTCGTTCACGAGAAGATCCCGTGGGTGGTGCTAATCAATTGAATCTTTTTGGGGCAAACAGAATGTTTAGGGGTCAGTAAACTGGCGGAGCAGCAGCAGCAGTAGGTGCAGGAGCAGCAATCTCAGCAGTAGCAGCAGCAGCAGCAGCAGCAGCAGCAGCAGCAAAAACAACAAAAGCAGTAGCAGCAGCAAATGCTGTCGCAGCAGCAGCTCTCCGGCAGCAGCGCTGGAAGTAGCAAGGGCAGCAGTAGTAGCACTAGCATCAGAGTGGCAGGGGGAGGGGCAGGGGGAGCCGCAGGAGCCGCAGAAGCAGAAGCAGCCAGTGGTACTCGTAGCAGCAGCAGGAGCAGCAGCAGTAGCGGAAGCACTTCTGTGGCAGCTGACTAGCCGCAACAGTCGGAGTAAACGTGGCGACAACAGTCCGACGATCAAACACACACTTCCGTGCCAAGAAGGGAAACATTGAGCATGACAGTGCCAGAATACAACAGAGATCGCAGCTCTGAAACTAATGCTTATCGACAGGTCAAGTATGGCAGACCAGCAGTCGCATCGGCTTGTATGGGAGTTTGCTCCCGCCCGGCGGAGGGCGACGGAACTTGTAAACATGACATGCTGATGCTGCTAGACAGGACAAGCACACAAAAGCAACGACAGCAAGAACAGTCATTCGAAACAATATCAATGTGATCGTGAACGGGAACCGTCGGAAGCATGTTCAACATAATGCCCTTAACTCTCATGGCTAAACCCGAAGTCGAGGCAGCACTGGCATCGGGACATGTGCCTGTCGCAAAACCCTCAACCTCAAACCCTCAAACCCTGCCCTAAAACGCCTAAGCCCCCAACCTTCAACATAAACACTCAACCTTACCCTTTAAACCGTCGAGCCTAGTCTAGATCCCACAACCCTAAGCGCTGAACCCCGAACCCTGAAGCTGAAAAACGACCCCCCTAGCTCCCAAGCCCGAACCCCAACTATCCCCAAACTTTAAACTCTGAAACCTAAAGCTCAGGATCCTGTACCCTAAACCCTAAAGGCTCCATAGTAGTTCCTTTTTGGGGTTCATAGATAGAATCCTATATGGTAGTCCCAAAAAGGAACTACTATGGAGCCCCTGGGTAAACCCTAAAGTTCCCAAAACCCTAAACTCCGAACTTTCAACACGTAAACGGCCTGAAGGGCTGCCAGGCGCCACAAGAGCACATCCAGGAACCTCCGCCCTTGTCGCACAGCTTCATAGATACTCTGAGATCTCTTACTTACTTACGGATTTTCTTAATTACAGTTGTTCAGGGTTCTAGATAGAAAGGGAGCCTTAACAGCGAGTCAGCCAGTATCGGGATTGGAATGATTACCTGCAGTGTCCCTTAAGGCTCCTTACTATCCATATATCCCGAAGCTCTGCTGCCCTTACATCAACGTAGGAAGGAACGATGGTGTTACTAGATTCTGACTGCCGAGTTTGACGCTTCATGTCTTCTCTATGTTGTCGTAAGCACCATGTTGAATATTGACGGCTGAGAGTCCGAGGTGCTTGGGCATGCTGGGGTCGTGTTTTAAGTGTTGGGGCTTACGGTTCCGGTTCCTGCTGCCGCAAACAGAGGACCCTTACCTCACACCCCCCCTCCCATCCGAAGCCAAAAGGCGCAGCACTTGGTGGTCTCCATCTTTCAGATGGCCGTGCGCTTGGAGGAGTTCGGTCAAAGTAACCTCAGGTGATCTCAGACTTAGCCTGAGCTTCCGATTAAGAAGCCGGGGGGAGGCGGAGAGCCTTGGGCCTTGGGTGGCTTCTCCAGTGTTCAGGGACTCGGTGGCCGGGTCTTCGAATTTACAGGGAACTCCAGAAAGTTGGAATATGGTTTCATGGTAGGATACCCTATCATTTACCATAGAAGGGTTAGGATAATCATATTCCAACTTCCTGGCTTCTACCTTAGAGCTGGGACGTGCTCGCTGATCTCAGCCATGGGACAGGCTGGCAGCATCCTCAGATCGAGAATGACATGATCCTATGCTGTGGGCGTCAAAGAACATGAGGGACATAAGGGTTCTCCGACGTGTTACCCTAGGAAAATCCAGTCGAAACTATCAGAATCTCTGCACACACTCGCAGATTCTCTTCCAGCGGAGCACAACTTGACCGACCTGGTGCCACTGCCAAGGCCCTGTCATACACCCTGCACCCAACACCTTACACCCCTCCTGGGCCCGGCCTTACACCAAAAAACCCTACACCTGAAAACCTGAAGCCACAACGCTCAGCTCAACTCGAAACCCGCAGGCTGAGCCACCCAGCAGACTGAAGCTGCGCACGCGAGCTCATGCGGCTCTCTTGCTGCAGGCAGAGGCTCAGGCTACCTCCGGAGGAGAGCAACAACGACGGGACGAGTACACTTAAATGCTTATCCCTACAAGGGATTGTCAGGGAATACTGCTACAAGTCATCGAGGCTCCTGCTGTCGCTCGTTTCAGGTCAGACCGGTCAGGCGGGACATTTGCATGGCTGTGCTCGTTCACCTTGGAGCTGGCAGGACCGGAACTTGAATGTTCAACTCGCTCTTCAACTGTGTCCAACATTAGCTCCGAACTCCACGGCCGCCACTCAAGCCAAGAAACGGGTCCCAACCATACCCCGCTCCAAAGCACGACCCCCACCCCAAACGCAAAATTAACCAATGTTTCGGGAGCTGATCCTCCGAGAGGAAGTAACATACCCTGCTGATAGCAGCCCAAGCGAAGCTTCGCAACGAGACCGAAGCCTATCGTACACAAGTCTCAGCAGCTCCAAAGAGGATGGAAGCTCAGAAACGAAACAACTCCCAGAGAGCCCTGAGTATAGGGCGTTCAGAGGCTCTGCGCAAAGCGACATGCACTCTTGGAGCTACTGGAACCAGAAGCCGACTCTCTTTCCGGTTTGCGGTGCCAGGGCTGCTAGCAGAAACTCTCAAGACCGCACCAGACCGAACCCCAAACTGAACTAGTCTGACCTAACTTCTCTCCTCAAATCCTGACCGAACCCCAAGCCAACACCTCCAGAGGAAACAAAGCAACAGCGTAATGACAACGACGACCCTAAACCCTGAACCCTCCATCGTCATAAGGAAAAGAAGAATGAACCAACGAGCCTTGGGCTTGTTTTAGCCAGGGCAGCCCTTGAGCTGTGTCCGCAGCGTCTTCCTCGGGTCTCTGGGCTTTACTGTGGGATCCTGCCTTTTTTTGTTTGAGGGGGGGGGGGGGGGGGGGGGGGGGGTCCCTGTGATACTGATACCAGTACGGAGGATGCGAGTATCTCAATTTTGCGTTGAAGGCCTCTGTTTCTTCTCCAATCCGCTTCAAGGCGCTTCGGCAGTATTGGGTCTTCAGCATGGGTTAGAATTTAGGGTTCCGGAAAGAAAATCCTGGGGTTTCGGCTGTAGGAGTTTAGGGTCTAAGGATTGACCAAATGGGCCTCAGGGCCTTTTTTGCTTCAGTGTTCATGTTTCAAGCACGACCGCATACTCTCTTTGGGTCTATTTCGGGCTGCAGCCCAGACAATCACAACTTATAGGGTTTAGAGTCTATGATACTTGGTTCTTTCATTTTTCAACCTGAAACAGCCACATGTTCAGCTTGAGGGCTTATGGCTTCAAGGCTCATGAGGCCTGAGAGGCCTTAGTTCGGGTGTTGTGGGTTGTACTCCGAAAAAGCTGGTGCTTCGGACTTGTGTTCCAGATCTTCTGTGTGACCTAGGCCGAAAGGCCCTCAGCTCGCACCAGCACTGACAAACCACCAGGTCCCTTGCTGAGAGTATGCCGCTCCAAGAAAGAACTTCTGGGTCACCCCCTATACCCTAAACATCCCTGAGCCCTTAAAGGAACCCTATTATAGAACCCTGACTATAGCCCCTTAAGGGGACCCCCATAGTCTCTAGAAGCCCTAAACATCCCTAAACCTCAACCCAGTTTCTGCAAAGATCTTGGGCCGCAGCCGCTTGGGCCAAAGCTTCAGCATACGTGTCCCCAGACAGATGCCAGGGGTTCTCCGGGCGGCCTAGGCTGGAGACAAAGGATTGCTTCGAGATGTTGAATGGGCTCTTGCATCTTATTTATATTATATTATATTATATTATATTATATTGTATTGTATTGTATTATATTGTATTATATTATATTATATTATATTGTATTATGTTATGTTATATTATAACTATATTATATTATATTATATTATATTATATTAAAAAGAATTACTTCTGTGTGTCTTGAACTACTCGTAGAAGGAGGTTGCTTTACACAGGTCCGCCCTTGTAGTAGCTTCTCCGTCGCTTAAATATGACAGGACGCAGCCTAAAAGCCACCGGATGATCTACCCCGGCGCACACATTCGGCGCTGCTATGCCGGCAGTTTTCCAATCTGCATTGGGTAAGGGATTCGGTGAGCCTTCGGTGGGTTTTTAGTAAGGTCTCGGGGTTGGGGTCTGGGGTTTGGAGTTTGGGAGCGCGTCTTGGGGCTTCGGGCGTAGGGTCCTCATGGTCGAAGGGCTTTGGGTTCAAGCTTTGGGGGGCTCCAGGATTTTCACGAGTAAGCATCCTGATCACCTGATGCCCCTGCCCCAAAACCTGAAATAGTGGGCCGCCCAGGCCCTTTTGCGGGCGCAGCAGAAGCCGAGTAGTACCATTAAGGAGGAAGCCGTCACTCGCTAAAGACCCTAAAACTTAGCCTAAAACCCTCAATCCTAAACCCCTAAACCCTAAACCCCTAAACCCCTAGACCCTAAATCCTAAACAGCTAAACCCTAAACCCCTAAACCCTAAAGCCTAAACCCCTAAACCCCCCTGCGGGTTCACTTTCGGGGGTGGTTTTGTATCGGTTTTTTCGGGGTTCGGTGTTTTTACGTACTGGGAAAAAACTTTTATGGGCAGGGGTTTGGGATAGCATGTATCGTGAACTTGTTTCGTGTGTAGTGATAACTGGTTGTTCTGGGGATTGCTATTACTGAGTTGTATGTAATGCACGTGGTGTGTAATGATGATGATGATGGTGGTGATGATGATGATGATGGTGATGATGATGATGGTGATGCCGGCAGTGATGATGACGATGCTGATGAAATGCAGTTGTTTGGAGTTCAAGCTGTAGAACAACATGCCAAACCCTTGGCTGTGCGTAGGGAACTTCGCAGCTTGATTTGTGTTCGCTTGAACAGAACGTCATTACTCCCTCCCCCCCCCCCAGCCCCCCACCCCCACCCCCCCACCACCCCCACCCCACCCAAAGAGCAAGCAGAGCACATGACCGAAAACAAAATCGACGCAAACAACGCAGAAAAGTTCAGGGAAGTTTGGAGCTTGATTTGTGTTCGCGTATCTCGTGTGAGTCGGGGTTCCCATGTTTCTTCGTTGTTCTGTTTCCTGTCAGTAGCACGCTTGCACAGGGAGCTTCGCAGCTTGATTTGTGTTCGCTTGAACAGAACGTCATTACTCCCACCCCCCCCCCCCCCCCCCCCCCCCCCCCCCCCCCCCCCCCCCCCCCCCCAAAGAGCAAGCAGAGCGCATGACCGAAAGCAACAACGACGCATAAAACGCAGAAAACGCAAAGCGGCAGACATCCCAAAAACATGCCTGCAGAAAGTCAGGAATACAGCACGCAGGCCACGTTTTTCGATGTTCCGACGAATTCGCAACCGAAAATGTACTACCAAAAACGACGTCGTTTTTGGTGCAAAAAACAAAGCCAGCGCGAATCAGACAAAACACTCGGCTACCAAGAGCGGAACACATGTAACAAGGCGAAAGCCTCGCGCTGGGCGGTGTTTTCCATGTGCCGGAAGGGCCGTGCGAAGGAGAAGGGCATACAAAGGCACATAAACAACAGTAAAAACCACCCCCGAAAGTGAACCCGCTGGGCTAAACCCTAAAGCCCAAACCCCTAAACCCTAAAGCCTAATAGAGCCACAAACCGAGGAGCCCACCGAAGGTCCACAGCGCCCGCGGCCAGGCCCCGTTTTGGAGCTGGGCGGAGAGCGCCTCAAGAGGAGGGCCCAGTTGAGATGTATATTATATACATATATATATATATATATATACGTATGTATTCTTTGTAAATGTAGAATATATTATACTATATATATATATACATACATACATGTTATATACCAAATTCTATTTTATTGTTGTTATTATTATTATACATACATATTTATATAGATGCAGCCGGTGTGGCATCACAGGTTTGTGATAGTTTGAAGCACCCTGCATCCTGTAGCACGAGGACACTATGTTTAGGCCCGCGGCGATGCGGTCTACCTGTGCTTCGTTGCCTTCGGAGATACGGCTAAGACCTGTTGGTGACCTCCTACTGCATGAGCATGTTCAACAGACAGACGCGAATTGCAGTTGGTGCAACCGAACCGTACCGATCCAAAATCTCACGAACAATCAGCATGCACGAAAGCCCTGTTACTATGGATCCGAGCCCCTCGCAACACCCACCAGGCCGGCGTCAATCTCGACCCCAGCGCGGTCAGCATCCTCCGCAAACGGGCGGGTGAGATGAGGGTCTGGGGTTCGTTTTCCCCCCGCCTCGAATCACCTCTACGCAAGATGAATCCGCGTTGCGGAAAGAAGCGGAAACACCCGAGAGTTGGGGTTAAGGCAAAGGCTTGGAGTGCACAACTGTCCCATGCCCGAATTACGAGGACGGGTTACTGCAACTTTTATCTTCAGGTTCCGTCGTGCCCGAAACAGACCTGAATGATTTGAGCAAGCTCCGAGGCTCGAAAGAAAGCAGAAAATGCGCGGAAATGGAGCTTACCGCTATGTCTCATGAAACTCGCGGCCGCTTCCTTTCGAGGCTTCTGAGGAGCTCATTTCCGGAACGAGGCAATGGTGCACTGTCTGGCCAGAGTGCCGCGAATCCTGCCTGCAAATTTTGCAAGATCCGCTGCCACTGCTGGCCACCTCCGGTCAAGGCCGCAGGGGCTCGGAGTTAGACTGTCTGCTGCCATGGGCTTGAGGGTTTGGATATAAACGTATAATACAGCTATATGCTATCATGCATCACTAGTTTATAAAATGTTTTACATATATAATAAGTATGTCATATGGGATGAAGGAACATCCAGCATTCCTTGAGAAACTGGGGACCAGGCTCTGGCAGCTGCTGCAAGCAGCGGTGAAACCTCGGACACTTCCCAGTATGCCAGTCTTGCATGACTCATACATATATAGAAATACATATATTTGTATATAGCTGCCAGAACTCGAATGATAGCAATCATAATATGTTTGCTATGTAGAACCATATTATTTCTACATGGTCCGCAGCACCTGGTCGATCGGCAAGGACTGACGATGAGTAAGTGCCCAGCTAAACACATCTCTTGCTGCGCGATGAGCTGGCATGGCCGACAGAAGATGGACCGCCTTACGTCAAGCTGCATTCCACGATGCCAGTGCACTGGGAAGGCAGCATCCAGGGTCAGCACGCTACAAGCGAAAGTGCCACCTCAAAGCAATCCCGCGTAGCACTCTCGTTGGTGCCCCCTCTGTCCCTCTAATCAGATCAGCAAGAGCTCATGCCCGGTCTTCTCGTTATGCTTGTAACAAGTATACACCTATACAGCATACACAAACGGCAGCACATACATGAAGCAAACTAGATGTGTCAATGGACAGGTTGAGACACCCCAAACTATCCATCTACCTACGTACCTGCCTACCTACCATTACCCACCTACCGACGGTCCAGCCACTCCTCACATCTATCCGTCGAGCGAGCTAGTTTGCTAGCCACGGATATCCATCTGCCTATCTCTCTACCAGTATGTCTATCTGTTGATCTGTCCATCAGTCTATCTGTTTGTCCGTTTTCCATCTGTCCGACTATCTATCTATCTATCTACCGATCTACCTATCAACCTATCTACCTGCATACCTATCTATCTATCTATCGATCAATACATCTGTCTATCGATCTGCCGATCTATCCATCTATCTATCCTTCTTGAATCAGTCAATAAACCAATCAATCAATCCATGCATCAGTCGGTCTAGCTGTCTAACCACCTATCTATCTATCTATCTATCTATCTATCAGCCTGTCTATCTATCCATCTACCATCGACCTATCTATCTGTCGTTCTAAAAGTGCATATGTACAGGTCTTATCTATATATATGTATATATGCGTATATATATATATGTATTATATTATATTTTATTGTGTTGTGTTATATTATATTGTATTAGACTACATAATGTTATATATTATAATATATATATATATATATATATATATATATATATATATATTCAGATATGTATGCATGTATGTATGCATCATGTATGCATGTAGGTATGTACGCATGCATGCGGGCATGTATGCATGTATGTATACATGTATGTATGCATGACTGCTAGTGCGTGTGCGCTTTATGCGCATCTATCTCTCGAACATGCTATAAATTTTAAAGCATTCAGAAGAGCGGAGCTCCTGAAACAAAACAGATTAGTAGATTAGGGTTGAGATTTAGGGCAGGGTGCCGGCAACCTCCCAACACCGGGCAGAGCACACTGAGCAGCTGGCAATGGGCCACTGGCCAGGCCGACTACAGGAATTCATCGCGGCATTGAAGCCTGGAAAGATGGGACTCCCATTCGCAAGGCATTGAATGAAGAGAACTGCCTAATGAACCTGAAAACGCCCATGTCTTGGATGTGCGGCTCTAGGAGAGTTCACGCGGTTTTGAATTTATCTTGGGGACTGGGCCTCACGGCTGACAGGCAAAAAGACCCTGTACACCTTCCGGGCTGAGGAGAGAACCCTGATCGTTTGCCAGGGACAGCGTCTGGGCTTGCTGAAGCAACAGCAGAGCCTGAAGTCAGGCCACCGGAGGGAACGACAGCACTGGGGGGAAGGTTTCTAGAGATTTAGGAGAACTGAGGCGCAGTTGTTTCATCAACTTTACTTTCATCCTCATACGAGTTAGCTTCAACCATGATTGAAGCCATCATTACAGGCCTTGCTTCTGACAGGAGTCACGCGAAAGGTCCGGTCCGCTCTGCGAAGGAACGTTTGAACAACCAACCGACGCCAGTTTGGAGAAAGGTGCATGAGATTCGACTGCCAGCCGCTGAGACTTGAGGCGAGCATATGTAGTGCATGTATGTCTGTATGTCTGTATCTATGTACCTCTGTGCGGATGAATAGACACATGCACATGTGTACACATGTATACATAGAGGGAGAGAAACAAAAAAATCATAATATTTGTACGAAAGATTCAAACTTTTGGGGCGTAGGCTTTAGTTCCCTTAGGCAACGAGGCAGTGCGGGGTAGTTGGTGGACCGTCTGGACCCACAGCCGAATCCATCAGGACGCCAGCCCCCACGCGGATTATCGACACCAGAGTCTACCCCTCAAAAAGGGGACAGGAACAGACTCACATGCTCCTAAACCCTAAACCCCGAACCCTGCTTCCGTGCTCAGGCCCTGGTCTTGCCTGGTGCCAGCGCCGTGCTCGAGCACAGGCCGCCACACCCGCGGAGTGGGCCTGGCTTCTGGGTGGTTTCGGGTCTAGGTTTAGGTTCAGGGGTTTGTCGACTTAGGAGTTTAGGGTTTGTTGATTTAGGGGTTTAGTCAGCCCCCGAACCCTTGAGACCTTGTGCGCCAACTCCGGTGGAAGATTTACACCTGAACCCCGAATCCGCACATCTACTCATGAAACTTTTCTGCCGTCGACGCCCTGCTGCACTGCTGAATGCCACCCGGTGGCATAAGAGTCGGCAAGCCCTTCGAAGACGAGATCTTCCAATCTGGACGGCACATGCTATGGGCTGGGGCTGTTCAAGAGCTTTGGATGCCGAGTTCTATGCTGCAGTCAGCTGAGGGCAGTCTGATGAATGATTCCTCCATCTGCTAGTGCTGCCGCTGCTCCTGCTGCTCCTGCTGCTCCTGCTGCTGCTGCTGCTGCTGCTGCCGTTACGGGGGAGCGCCTACACCTACTACTACTACTACTACCACCACGACGACAACCACTACTACTCCTACTCCTACTGCTGCTGCTACTGCTACTGCTGCTGCCACTGCTATTGCTCCTGCTACTGCTCCTGCTCCTGCTACTGCTAGACCAACGAATCGCGGCTCGCTCATGCTGTGCGGCAGCCATTACCCCTCCGCAGAGAAGCAAAGCGAAAAGAAATGTCCCCAAATCCGAGGACCCTGCGGAACCTTGAGCCCAACGAGCCAGACTTCACGCCCGAGCAACCCAAATAGTAACCCTCATGATGGTAGCCCTTATATGATTCTTGTACCCTGGAACCCTTGATTCTTCAAGGGAGTTCTGAGGCGGCTGCAGAAGCAGTGCCGTCTGCCACTGCCTTGGCATGACTTCGTAGGGTAGACTTCCCTAAACTAACAAAGAACTAAACCTCTTGCAATTAGCCCAGGGGGAAAGTGAGCAAAGTGGTCCTTCGTGATCACCGGGCTTTTATTTCTGCACTTCGGGGGCCTAAGGCCTTACCTTCTACAGGAATAGATTGAATGCGTTTTCTCTCCTTCCCTAGCCAGTTACATCAGTATCTGCAGCAACAGCACATGGCAGAAGTGGGGAAGTTGCCGCGAAGTTTAACCAGCAAGGTGTGACATGATGGGGGCGCGTTCTACCGGCTCGCGTGCGCGTCGAAGCTGCTTTCTTGCGTTCTCCTGCGACCGCACTCATCTCCCGCTCCCTGCCCTCCCATCGAGCGACTCACCGACCCGTATGTCTAAGCATGCAGCCCTTGACTTCACGATCTGGCTGAATCGCCTCCTTCGCCTTTAAAGTCCGGTCATGTGATCCCTCAGAAGTCTGAAGCACGCGAATCAGGCATAAACGCACAGTATGTGCAAGTTTCGATTATGAATGGAACCGCGAACAGTTTCCGAGGGACAACGAGGTGGCTACCTGCTACCTGTTTGCACCCACCGAGCACTCCGAGTAGCAGAGGAATTCTCATGCCAGAAGCACCGACTGGCCTGGACCAATATGAAACCTTCCCAGGAACCTCATTGGGGCGTGGCACCGCCATGTTATGGTTCCTTCTGGGTCCCTACTACGGTCGACTCCGATCATAGGCACTTACACCCTGATTACCCTAAACCCTCAACCCATTCCGGACCCTCTAACAGTAACCCTTGCCACGCTTACTGATACTGCAACCTTTATTAAATAATCAACCTATTATTCTTACTATTATTTCATTATGATTATTAAAAACCCTTGTTGCGACGCCCTTTGAGCAGCCCCAATAAAGCCCGAAGCCGGCCCAACCGTCGACGAGGCCGCTGCCGACTGCTTCCACAAGCAGCGATTGCAGAGGTCCGGCCGACGACGTCAGGCCCTGAGGCCACGGTTCAGGGTTTGGGGCTTAGGGTCACGTGTAGATACGGCACAGGGTCTGTTCTTTAAAGATGCAGTGGCCCTTTCTCCGCGCGAACGCAGGTCCAGTGCCCACCTCCTTGAGATATGCACCAAACCACGGCCATCAGACACATCTACAGCATCCAACGACCGAAAACAGACAACCACTCACCACCGGCTCAATCATCACGGCGTCGAGTTTAGGGCTTGGGTTTAGGGGCATACTCTTGATACGTGGGAGCCAGCTTGCAAGGTCCTGAAGATCAGCATCCCACTAGGTGGAATTCTACACTACAGGCTTGAACTTTTTCATGTAACTCCCATACGTCGACCCTACAACGTCTGATTTCCGATCGCGCCAAGACTACTACGCAACCTTAGTTCAGCAGCGCAGGCCATGAGATTTTAATGTCAATACACTTCGTTGCTTCTTTGTAAAGCAAGCTTTACAAACCTTTGAATTTGAACTGGCACATGCTCTGAAGCGCCTGGAAGCAGATTGTTCCTCACCAACTTCCGGACCGGGATGACCCAAAGTGTAAACCAAGATGACAACTCACATGTCAAAGTCATAGTGCGCTGGAGCCTTTAGGGCCTACCCCAAATCACCAAAACCTACTTTCCTGCAATTCTTGTTGTAAACCCTAATGTGGATTGATGGGGGCTCTACCAAAGAAGTAGGTTCTTGGTAGGGTCTTCAGCTCGGGTTCAATGCGCCTCCCGAGAAAGACTCGATCTCCTCCAGCGTACTGAGCACACGCTCCCACCTGGGATAGACATTTCGGTCCGCAGGAGCACCGCTCAGGACTGGTAGCTTTTACGGTTTGTGGGATTTCGGGGGTTATAGTTGTTCAGGATTTAATCTCGCAGAACTTGTACCTTAGTATAGCATTAAAAGCTTCTGTGACGCATAACTGGGTTTCAAGTCTGTGCCTTCTAGTATGGGTTCCCGGGATGGCGACGCTTTGACAATCGACTCGGGATTTGATGGCCAGAGCAAGGCAAAGCAGAGCTGCAGGGTTTCGGGATCGGGCTTTTGCAGCCTCTACCCGTTGAGAACTTGCCCGAAAACGTGTTCTTCCAAACCCCAGGCCCCACAAACACTCCAGCGAACCGAGCTGTAAACTTCTTAAGACCTGAAGCCAAAGACCCTGAACCCTAAACCCTAAACCCTAAACCCTAAAACCAAAACCCTAGAACCCACATGCTCTGGGCCCGTAAAAACCCTCTAAAAACCCGCCAAAGGCCGAGGCAATGAGGCTCTCTTATAAGCATCCACCAGAGCCTCAGGCGTCTTCTTTTTTTTTTTTTAAGAGTGTGCAGGCGTCTTCTTTCAAAATTAGGGGATTCCAAATATTCTTTATCATTCGCGTAGGGTTGTTATGTGGGGAGTATAAGGCGAGACTATCCCTGTATCACTCAGCTGCTTCAGGGCTTAGGGTTTTGGAGCCAGTTGTTGTGAATGTAAATAGTACTACAACTGCATACATTGCTCGTGACAGTTTATGAACATAATCCGCGCCTTTGGCTAGCATTGCTATCTTCAGCGTTCTTCTGAACACCGACAATGATCAGCATGTGCATTCCCGGGACGGCATCATTGGCACGTGGGCTGTCGGAGCCCAAGCCCCAATACCAGCATGTGTTTTTGAGAGTCAATGAGTCAATGATTTAGAATTTAGAAGAGCAACTCCTACAGTTTGACAATACAAAGCAGGGACTCTCAAAAGTTGAATATCAAAACAGAAGCACCTAAAGCTTTAGACGCGGTAAGGTTTCCGAGTGGGTGGTCCGGGGTGGGAGGGTCACAGAACACACTCAGCTCCCTCACAACCCTTTGGGTCGAGGCGCATCGGCGCTTGAGAAGCCCTGAAACCCAACCCACATGGACCCCCCCCCCCAAAAAAAAAGCATAGTTTACCACATTAGACTGAACCGACAAATGCTAATGCTAATACTAGTACTGATACGAATACTGATACTAATCATAACACTACCACTACCACTACCACTACCACTACCACCACTACTACTACTACTACTACTACTACTACTACTACTACTACTACTACTACTCCTGCTGCTGCTGCTACTACTACTACTACTACTATATACTACTACTACTACTACTACTACTACTACTACTACTACTACTACTACTACTACTACTACTACTGCTACTGCTACTGCTACTACTACTACTACTACTACTACTACTACTACTACTACTACTACTACTACTACTACTACTACTACTACTACTACTACTACTACTAGTCCAGTACTAATACCCTAAAAAACGGAAACCCTCATATCCGAGGCCCAAACCCGGTAGGTCACGGCCTGGGAAGAACTGGGCTTCTGCTTGGAGGCCCATTGGAGGCTCTAGGCTTTGGTTCAGGGGTTTAGGGTTTAGGGGTTAAGGGTTTAGGGTTTATTTAGGGTTTAGGGGTTTAGGAGTTTAGGAGTTTAGGGGTTTAGGGGTAAGGGCCAAGCATTTGGGGTCGGGGGAGGGGAGTTGAGGTTTCTCGGGTTAACTGGCTCTGCAGGAGGTTTGGGAGGCTTGGGTGTGGGTCTGGCGGTGCAAGGTTTCCGATGTAGGGTTTGGGGAATTGGCGTTGAAGCATCCCGGTGGGTTGCTTGGGGCTTCAAGGATTTAAAGCTTCAGGGGCTTGGGGCTTCAGGATCAGGCTCTTTTTAGTTTAGGGCAAAATTTAGAGCTTGGGTCTCTCAGGTACTGGGGGCTGCTGGCGTTCAGAGTTTAGGGTTTGGCATTCAAGGCTTTAGGGCGTGAGGGTTTAGGACTTGCGCTTTGGGGGTTTCAGGGTTCGAACCTCTAACGTAGGGATTCAGAAATTTCAGAGCCGGGTTTCGCACTCCACCTCGGGCTTCTGAATTCTTGTTTTTGGATCACGCTCATCTGCTCTCTGCTTCTCAAGTCTCGGCGTGAAAAAACCCTCAGAACCCTATAAACCCTTACGGGTCCAGTTTATCAGACTAAAAGTTAATTCTTGTGATTATGTGGGGCTGTGCTACCCAACAAGGTTGAAAGCTTGCATGCCCCAGTACTAAGAAAGTCCGGCCATAAAAACTGAACCTGAAACACAACTCCTCCGGACAAGGCGCGTTGCAGTCCACCTCGTCCATCTGCATGTGCATTAGCAGCCCGAGAGCCCTTCCTGGGCGATGAGAGTTCACTGGGTTCTTGTGAAGGAGTCTCGTTCAAGGTACCATAATAGGGATCTCTAGTATATAGTATGGTTTCTTTATTATGGTAACTTAACACAAATTCCTTGACAAGAACCCAGTTTAGGGTTTTGAACCTCTGAAGCTCTGGCCCGGGATGTGGTTTAGGGTTTAGGGTTTGGGGTCCCTAGACCCTTAGCCCTAAACTCTATCCTAAACAACCCGCAGCCCCAAGCCCCGAACCCAGGAGTGCCAGAAACTTCAAACCCCGTAGCCTCCCGGGATCCCGACTCCATTGTAAGCCTTTCCCACAGGAGGAGATGACTTCGTTGAAGGTGGTGGTGTCCGGCCTCAATGGCTCAAGCGGTTTAGGGCCTGGATTCGGGGCTGGGGTGATTCTTAATCAGGTTTCGAGTTCGACTCAGCAGCTTAGGCTTCAGGAGGCAGTGCTCCCATTGCTACCAGCCATGAAGCAACCGATCCTGTTGTGTTGATAACATCCCTTCAAACACCCAGAAGCAAGCCACTGTGAAGACGATCCGCCCCCCGGAACCACTCAACCGCAAACCTGCCTACTTGTAGAAGCAAGAATCCCAAAGAATCCTCTGCCACAAACCGCAGAAAGCCAAGTGCCCAGCCAGGTCTTATGACCGGCCATGTCCGTCAAAAGAACAAGGGACTGCTCCCACTTTGATGCCTACCGAAGTCGAAGCAAGAGGGTCTTAAGGTACGAGATTTAGAAGGGCTTTGAGTCTAAGACTTGAGAACGTAGGTTCAGGGGTGTACCCATGCTTGGGCCATGCGGCTTGAAAATTCCTTTGAGACCAGCCACCTTACAGACCCCACACCCCCCTGCACAAGAAGTGCAGCTGGACTCAGATCCCCTTCAGAACGAGGGCCTTCGAGTGCGGGGAATGAAGGCTTCGCTGTTTAGGGTGGACCTACGGTTCCCTGCGGTGCAAGCCGTGGATTTGGGGCTCAAGGTTCCAACGCTCCGGGGGGCTTAGATTCATGAGGAGGGGCAGGTTTCGCAGTGCATGGAGGCCCTGTTGCTGCTTCAACCTCCCGACTCCTCCTCAGCCGAAGTCAGTCCCACAAAATTTCTGGAGCTTATCGGGGCTCCCAATGGAAGCTCCCTAACAGGTGTGGGGTTAGGGAACGCCCTCGCCCCAGAGCCACAAAATCTCTGCCAGGACCTGCCCGCACGCTGCAATCGCGGCAGTGTGGGTTGGCCTGTGAGGAGGCGGGAGCCGGATAGCCCCGCCAATATCATAACGTGATATATCTCTTTCTTCATTTAAACCATTTCACACTATATTGTATTGTACTATATTGACTCACAATATTGATTTGTAGAGTTTATGTGTTACATTTTGGGTATATGATATCAGGACAAAACTTAAACCTCAAGCCCAGAGATTGAACAAAGTATGCGGAGTTTGGCCGTCGGACCCTCATGCTCCGATCGTGGTGATGCCTCCGTGATGCTCCCATGCAAACAGGCCGTTTCCAAAACGGGAACCCCATGATTTCGAGAAAGCAGTAGTCCTAACGTCAGTGCATTGATTCTGGATCCTCAACATGTTCGGCTGGGGGGTTCGGATTTCACGGGTTGCTGTTTGGGTGTTCTTCTCGGGGGCTTCTAAATTCAACATGACTCGACACGGTTAGGGAAGCGCCCAACTGGTGATGGAGTCGCAAAACAGCTGGCAAGACCTGTTGCTTAAGGATGCCAGAGCTCAGGGTTCCACCGTTCAGGATTGAGGTGCTAAGGTTTCAGGGCTTTGTATATGAAGCAAGGCGCAAGCATCCAGGGGGCCGCACACGTCCGGCGGGAGCATCGCAACTCGTGCATCTTGTAGCAGCTGGAGCGCCCGCTCCCACTGCATGCTCCTGGCAGAGAAGAGAGGGGAGGACTATGGAAAACTCTCGGCGTGGTATCTCGACGACGGATAGCATGGCACCCTAAGGTCTCATGGGACATGACTCGTTCTAGACAGCTACTGGCAACGACATAGCTAACACACCTAACAAGAGTTTGTGGCTTTACGTCACAGAACTTGGGAGGAAGAAACAGGAGACACATCGTCAGCATTTCAAGCAGTCCCGACAGAACATTGCACGATCTTGCCGCTCCAAAGCGATCTGTGCAGATTCCAAGACGAACCCCAACGTGGCCTCGTGCAAGTCAGTATGACCCCCGCGTAGGTGATCATAGAGCAAGGCAGCCCTGACGGAGGACAGCGTCCGCAGAATAAGGGTTGAGGAGTTGTGGTCGGGTGGTGCTGAACAAGGTCAACCTTCAAGAGCCGAAGAAGCCCCGCAAACCCTACCCGTCCATGATCGCAGCAAGAAGATGTGATCAACTAGACAGCTTGAAAGGTCGCTGCAAGTAGGTCAAGGCAGGCACTTCCCAAAAAGGCCTTCCACCCACGCCTCTCTGAGGAGAGACAAAGCTCTCTCCCATCCTCAGGATCAGGCTTAGCAAGGCAGCGAGTTCAGGTTCAGAATGACAAACATAAAGGCGTTAATAATTACAAATACCATGTTGGGGGGTTCCTTATTATAACTATACGAGGCCCCAAAACCCTATTCAAATGATTATGGCCCCTATATTGCAAGCCCTACACTCTCCATAAGCCTGTACGGATGGGCACCCACCTGGAAGCATGCAGGGTTGTGCTTGATTCCTATACCCTAAAGCATGCGAAAAAAACGAATCCCGCAACCCGAGTCGGCCTCCACGCCGGGCATCGCTGCAGGCGTAGATGGCGGTATTGTAGCCTTAAGTTTACAAGAGTTGTACAAGGGCACACACGGGTTTCGTAGAGCTTCGTGTGCGGGCAGGCTAGGTTTGAGGACTACAGCAGGGGGTGAAGGTCAAGGAGGTTAACGCTTGAAGGGTTGAAGGTTATGGGTAGGGAAGGCTCGTTGTGCCGGGGTTGACAGCGACGTTGCTGTAGCAGCAATAACAACGCTCATTCTCGGAATGGTGAAGTAGACATTGATCTCCCAGGCTTTCTCTCTCGCATGCACCAAGCAATCTCGGCGTGCTCATCAAGAGCTACTTCGCTACTGCGAAAGCATATGGCAAATCTTATGACTGTTTGCACAGCTTCTGAGGATAGAAACTCATCAAGTATTACTATACGGTGTAGGTGTTGTTGCTGAGGCTCTTGGTGGTGGTTGTGGTGCTGCCGCTGCTGCTGCTGCTGCTGCTGCTGCTGATGCTTCTGTTGCTGCCGTTGCTGCCTCTTCTGCCGTTGTTGCGGTTGCTGTTGACGTAGCTGTGCCCGTGGCTGTTGCGGTTGCCGTTGCTGCCGTCGCTGTTGATGCTGTTTGTTGCTACTACTAATGCTTGTGCTATTGCTACCGCTCTTGCTATTGCTTTTGCTGTTGCTGTGGCTATTGCCATTGCTATTGCTATTGCTATCTACTGCTGTTGCTATTGCCATTGCTGCTGCTGTTGCTGCTGCTTCTGCTCTCACTCTTGCTCTTGCTCTTGCTCTTGCCGTTGCAGTGGCTGCTGCCTTTGCTCTAAGCCTCTCGGCTCAGGAAAGGTCAGGCTAGTACAGTTGCCTTTTTCCTTTCTTGCCATGGCATTTGTCAGCGCCTGAGCAGTCCCGGTCCCAAGTCCGGGAGGGAGTATTGGACTTACAGCTCTCTAACATCTCCCAGAGGTGAGGGTTGTCGGTATTGCGAAGCCGACAGGAGCCGTACTCAACATGAGTGCTGCGAAACAGCCTAGTGGTTCGACCAAGCATCAGCCCGTTCCTAAAGGGAAGGGTAAACGCTCTTATCAAAGGGCAGCACGTAAAGCTCTGCTTGAAGGTAGTGCGGTCTACAAGGGAAGGACGATGTCGTCAACAGAGCTTGGAGCTGCTCCGGCACATGCAAAGCCCACCAATCCCGTCAGAAGGACTCGGCCTTCGAAATTCACAGAAGAAAAGAATCTTAGCTATTTATCTTGGAACGCAGGATCTCTCACAACAGCAGTTTGGGAAGAGTTACTCTCCGTGCTGCAAAGTGCCGCATTTCAGGATGTGAAGCTAGTAGCGATTCAGGAAACACACTGGAGGGGATCTTGGCAATTCAGCAAGTCAGGCTGGCATGTGATCAGCTCTGGCTCCACAGGGGAGAAGGGAGCCGGGGTTCTCATAATGGTGCACTTCACGCTGTGCAAGTCACAGGATCTTCGCTACAACGAGGTGGTACCAGGACGAGTTCTCCAGGTCCGGGTGCCGAGCAAAGGCATCTCACTGGACGTCTTCAGCTGTTATCAATATGTTTGGCGCTCTAAGGAGACTGTCGCTCAGAATAAGGAGACCCGGAAGCAGACCCTTCATGCCCTAAGTAAGTCCATCCGAGCTGTTCCCAATCGCAACACTCTCCTTGTGCTAGGAGATTTTAACTCCTCGCTAAAAACTGACAATAAACACGTAGGGCCATGCACGATCCAGACTTGCAGACTCGGGCATCGCGGATCTAAGGATCTCCAGACTCTACTGTTGGAGCACCAGCTAGTTGCAACCAACACTTGGGGAGTGCATAGACCAGCCACTCATGTACAAGGCAACTCAGTCTCACAGATTGATTTCTCGTTTGTCAGGATAGCACAATCCCAAGGCCCTGCCAGGTTTTGCCGGCCGCTAAGGACCTTCCCAGTTGCATCCTGGAGGGATGGTAGTAGGCATTTCCCCCTTCTAGGTAAATTGAGACACAGCAGGAGATACTCCGCCCAAGTCTCCAAACCCTATGACCAGCAGGCAATGGAGGACTGCTATCGACACCGTTCACCGACAATACAGGCGTTTGCTAGGGAGGTAGATTCCCTCCTTCAGGATCATCCTCAAACCTGGCATAACCTCTATCAAGCAATGAACTCAGCCCTCGCGACTCACTTTCCCAAGAGCAAGGATTCAGCACCAAGACCCGATCTCAGCATCTGGGAGGAGCGCTCTGTACTGCGCTCAATCCCACTAGCAGTCAAGGTCTTAGCAGAGTTCTTGCCCGATCTGCAGGTTCGTATGGTGTTTCGCTGCTGGAGCTCTTTCTCCAAGCAAAGTGCACAGGCGAGGATAGCAAAGCAACACAAGCAGGAGCGGCGGCGGCAGGAAATAGATGAACAACTCGAGCAGGCAGAGCTAAAGTCAAAACAAGACGGGAGTCATTCACTTTACAAGGTAATCAAGCGCTTTAGGTCGGGGAGACCTCAGGAAAGAGTTCAGCTACGTGACTCTGAGGGACGCTTCCTTACTGCCAAGGAAGAAAGAAGACAATTAGAGGAATATTCCCAAGATCTGTTCGGAGCAGGGGATGACTTCCCGCTCTCAGGGCTGCAAGGCAGCCTGCACATCACAGACCACGAAGTGCAAGAACAGCTTGGCACAATAAAACTTGGCAAGGCAGTTCCTAAAGAGAGTCCTCCCGTAGTAGCCTGGCGCTCCCTAGGCCCTCAAGCAATCCGGCTCATCTCGGACACCCTAAATAGGGAAGTCACTGCCGGCAGGCTTTCGGACAGTGTCACCTCGTCACAGATCTCCTGGCTCCCAAAGCCTCCCAAGAAGCCAGACAAACCAACCTCACTTCGCCCGATTGGGGTGATAGCGCCTGAGGGTAAGGTCCTAGCCGGACTAGTGAGGAAGAGACTCAAGAATACCCTTCAGCAAGCAATGACCGGCGTCTCGCAGTTCGGCTTCGTCCCAGGTAGGGGTACAGAGGAGGCTATCTGCAAAGCTCTCACACATGTAGACCAAGCCAGGTTCAGACAGGCCCTTACCACTAGGGCTGCTGGTAAGGGACAACAGGGGCTGAAGCTCAAAGGCAGTCTCACCATGAGCGTTGACATGAGCAAAGCCTTTGACACTGTAAACAGGCTGCGATTAAGAGAGGCCCTTGAAGCTGAACAAGCAGATCCTCTTTTGATAGAGGTGGTAGGTCATCTCCACATCAAAGCCTTGTACAAGATGACAGCCAGTGATCAGAGCTTTGAGATAGCCACACGCAGGGGAATCAAGCAGGGTTGTAAGCTCGCACCCTCATTATTTGCCTTTGCATCGGGACTCCTCTTTAGAAAGCTCTCTGGGAAAATCAACCCAGCTGAACTAGTGAAGCTCCTCACAATGTACGCGGACGATAGCCTGATCCAGTCACATTTCGACACAGAGAATGGCCTAATGACAGCACTAGGGTACTGCGACCTGCTTTTGGATCAGCTAGTAGAGCTTGGGTTTAAGGTCAATCCGTCCAAGTCAGCAATCCTGCTGCAGCTGCAAGGGGGCTCAGCCTCGACCATGAGAAAGAAACTCTTTCGCCAGGTTGAGGGAGAGAAGTTTGTTGAACTTCCTTCGGGCAGGCTGATCTCGCTTCGCTACCAGGTCCCATACCTTGGGGTCATTCTCTCTTATCACGACTATGAAATGAAGACTCTCAAACATAGGCTGTCCTCCAGTAAGCTTGCAATGTCAGAAGTAGCCCATGCAGTTCGGAACCATCGAGTCTTATCAGACAGACGTCGTCTGTCGATTTGGACAATAACTGCGTGGGCCTCTGCATTGTATGCACTTCATGTGGTGGGGGTGACACAGCAGGGACTGCAAAAGCTCCATTCACACATGATGTACCAACTCAGATTCGTCCTGCGGAGTTACTCCCAGGAAACGAAGGAATCAAACCAGGAGTTACTCCGGAGATTACGGATTCCTCACGTGAAGGAGCAGCTGCAAAAGAGACTGACCCAGTTCATAAAGAGACAGCAACACTCTGATCCCCAGCTTCTCCCCCACTATAAGTTGCGAGCTGAGGCAGTTAGCCAAGTTCTGGCAGGCCTATCCACGGACTTCTCCTCGCAATCTGTTGAGGATAGGCTTCTGACTTGCACCGAATGTGGAGCATGTCTCTCTGGCACCGGAGCACTCCGTCGCCACCTGCAGAAGGCACACCCAGATTCACAGCAGTGCTTGAAAGGACCCAAATTTGATCCTATCTTGCATTCAATGCCAGGGTCAGCAACTTGTGCTGCCTGTCGAGCAACATTCCGATCAGTGTTTTATCTGCGCAAACATGTAGAAGCATCTACCTGTCCAAGGGTAGAGCTCTTGCTCAGGCAGCAGGAAGAGCTACCCTTAGAAGCACAGAACCGGATCTCACTCGTAGAAAGTCTACAGTCTGAGGCCCAGGACAATCCAGAAGGTGCCGCTCGAAACCCTGCGTTCCATGATTACCTGATGGAACACTGTGCTCTCTGCGGTCAGGTCCTCGTTGGTCAGAAAGGAGCCAAACAGCACCTAAACAAGCAGCATCCTGATGTGATGGCCAAGCTTGAGAAAACTCTTCAACCAAGACTTGCTCAGTTTAAGGTCTTCTTTCACAAAGGAGATAGCTGTCGTTATTGCAAACTCAGGGTGGATGCCCCGGGTAGACATGCTCAGCAGTGCGTTCCACTCCTGCAGGTGCATGTACTGCAGGAGGTAGCGCGTCAGCAACTCAGCAAGCAGCCTCGAGAATATACTCGAACAAGGCCCAACACCTCGGCGAAGCCAGCCACCAAAAAGCCTACAGACCCAATGCCAGGTATTCCGCTACCCGAATTTAGACTGGACGGCTTTCTTCTGCTAGCCAACACTCGTAACCACTGCTATGCCAACTCAGGTCTACAGTGTCTGCACTGGCTTGCAGATCCTTCAGCGGCGCCTTTTCAAGAGGCAGCTCGGATCAGTCTCCTCGCGAGAATAACCCCTGAACATAGAGTTTTCTCGGAGCTCACCACGGGCTGGCTCTTTGAC